TATTACCTAGTGGCTTATTAACTGTCTATTAATGCAATATTGGCGATTTACTACTTTGTAAATATTCTGCATTATATTTTCCTACATCCCTAATACTTAACATAACACCTACTCAAATAATAAGCAGCACGTCATAGCTGGCCCACATGGAATCTGTGTGCGCAAAAAATCTGCAGATTTCTGCAGATTTTCAGCCCATCATTGAGTCTATTATATTAGTTGTGCGTAAATGTGTGTACATTTATATTTATTCCGTTTTTTGGATTAATTTCAGTTATATTACTGACTAACATGAAAATGTTTGTGTGATTTACTTACAATACAGTTTGTAAAGTAATATTTTTGGTCTTTTAGTAGATATATGGTAGATATGAAGAGTTCAAATGCAAAAACCTCTAAGTGCCATCAGATATTTTCTTCTAAACTGGCCATTTTTCGTAGACTCCTTTATTTAAGTTCACTTGTTTCACATTAAAAGCTATGAGAATAACATTAATTGACCAAAAAAAGGAAATTACTCAACTTATACATAGGAGCTTGAGAAAAATGCTAAATGCAAATTAGATGGCACTTAGAAGTTTTTGCATCTGAACTCTTCATATATTATATGAGAGACTTGCTTTGTTTACCAAACAAATGGATTTAATAGAATTTGAATCGTACACATTAAATAAAAGGTAAAATATTAAGTTTTTAGTTATGATACAGCCAAAATCATTTAGCATAAATCCACAGACATCCACAATATTCTGCGCAGTAATAGCAAAAAATGTCCGCAGATTCTGTCTGGCCCTGGTCATAGGTAATTGTTTAATATTAATATCGCAAATTGTACAAGGGGTTTAAGTTAAATTCATAGAGGTTTGTAACAACAACAGGGTGAGTAAACGATGACAGAACTATAAACTTTAAGTGAAATATCCCTTTAAACAACACTATAAAACAACTACAATTTAATGAAACTACAATTATGTAATGTAATGTCTAAAAGTGAAACATACAAAAAGTAGGCCACAACAGAAAGCTCTTTGAGGCCGCGGCTATGTGAGGTTAAAAGGGTCAAACTGAAGATCCAGCTGAAGACAACTGTTGTACACAACTCACATCAACAGCAGCGGGCAGAAATGAACAAGCTGAGACTGTCCAGCAGCTGTTGGTGGAGTACCCGAGGTTTTAATGAGGCCTGTCTCGCATAAACACCACACTGAGGAAGATTGCAGCACTGGCATCTCACCCACTGGAGCACAATGCTGCCATTGCATTTGTTTTCAGCAGAAGCATGTAAACAGTGACAGAGCAGCTCTGGTCACAGCACGTGGCATTGCGCAAATCTGAATAAAATAATGGAAAGCTGAAGGCCAGTGATAAGCAGTATTGGATAAGTACATCAAACCGTCCTCTAATCAAATATGTTAACAAATTTAGGCTGACTTTTTAACGTTCTCGTTTGCAAAATGTTGACGTATCCTAAATATTATCTAATGTTTGATCCAAATTTTATATATGAAAGGCAAGACAACCGTCATGGGTTTTTATGATTTGAGTAAGTCAGGAGTGATTTGTTAGGTTTCTTTATCAGTCTTTATCAATCAAGAATATCGTTGATGTTCGTAAACTCATGACAGGCTTTATGGATTGCTGCGTGTCGTCAATAAAATCATTAAAAGTCAAAGAACGCCATCTGGTGGTCACAGATTGAGTTATAGCCAATGAATGAAAAATGCTTGAGATAAAAAAATATTTATAAAGGCAGTCACAATCAAACCCTTAACTGATTCAGTCAAGTGTATTAAAATCTTATATGTAGGTTGACGATAAATTGATTATTAGATAACTGAATTTCTGGCATAATCCGTAAATCTTGCGTTGTTCAAAACTCAAGCAACCAGAACATAAATAAAACAAATCGCACTACTATTATAACGATAAGCCTTTTTCAATAGTAAAAAGTTGTATTTGTATTTTTTATATGAAATTTTACACTAATACTTAAAGTGTGAGGTAAGGAAAACTGTAAAAAATACGTATTTAAAAAATATTATATAGTTATTGCTTTGGAAAAGACAAAGATACCTGTCCTATCACAATGGATAAAAGATGTCTGGGGGGAAAAACATGTACAATTATAGGTAAAGGAGATACTTAATAAGAAAGTGTGGTTCTCTTTGCTATGGAATGGATCTGATGTAATCATATAATTACAATCATATAAAATTACAAAATATATATAATTTTCTATTAAGGTTAATTAAACTGAATGTCCTTCTTTTATTCTTGTTTTATTTTATTTTTTTAATATTGCATACAGACTTTTATTTAATAGCTTATTTAAAAAAAAAATTTAGTTTAATAAATGTTGGTGTGGGAAACATTAGTACATAAGTACATAAGTACATACATTACGTACATTCTGAAATTATAGAATTTAATTTTTTTGCTATTTAGTAAGGTTTGTTAAAATTTAAATCAGTCAAAACGTAATTTAATGTAATATCAAAGTTTAATAACAAAGTTATGTATTATAAAATATTTAGATTTATTTTAAAATGATAAATGAAATTAATAAAGTAATGTCTAATTTCATAATTGTCTGAAGTAGTCTAATTTCATAATTTTTTATAAAAACAAATTCGTTAATTTAGTTTTCAGCACATTCACTTGTATGAAAAGTGCAATCCAGGTTTTATTGTTAAAGCTGACAAAAAATTGTTGCATCAATAATAACAAGTTTCTTGAGTACCAGATCAGTAGATCAGAATAATTTTCTGAAGGATAATGTACTACCAAAGACTGAAAACTCTTCTTTGACATTACAGAAATAAATAAACAATGTAAGTATAATGAATTGAATAAAATTTCAAAACATTATTGATTTTACTGTATATAATCACCTTTGCTGAGCATACATGACTTCTTCCAAAAACATTAATACCCCAAACTGAATGGCAGTGTACATTATGTCAGGATTTGAATCTAATGTACACCTGTACATTTTTGGAAATTAGTTAAGTCTGTTTCAGTATCTAAACCGGCTTCTAATTTCCCAAATTATTTAAAAGTTAATAACACTGAAGTTAAGGGCAGAGAAGACATTGCAGACAATCTTAATAATTATTTCATATCTGTCGGCTCGATTTCTGATTCTCCCGTCTCATCTGCCCATACTTCAAACACACTTGTTGAGTCTGTGCGAAACAGTTCCTCACATTTGTTCAAGTTTTTGCCTATCACCGTCACACAGGTCCATAAAGCTTTAGAGACTCTAGATATTAAAAAATCACCAGGAATCGATAAAATTGACCCTTATTTCTTACGTCTGGCAGCAGAGTTAGTTGCAGAACCTATAGCCTCTTTATTTAACTTAAGTCTCACTTCTAATGTGATACCTAAAATGTGGAAATCTGCTATGGTTACGCCATTATTAAAAGGGGGAGATCCTGCAGACCCAAATAATTACCGTCCTATTTCCAGATTGTCGGTTTTAGCAAAGGTCTTTGAGTCATTGATAAATGACCAACTAAAACAATATTTGTCAATTAATAATATACTTCAGGATCACCAATCAGGATTTAGAACGGGACACAGTACGGTTACTGCAGCTACATTAATCTTAAATGATATCACACGCTCTTTAGACAGTAAACAGTCCTGTGCTGCTTTATTTATTGATTTATCTAAAGCTTTTGATTCTGTAGATCATAAACTAATGTTGCAGAGACTTAGGCTTTTAGGTTTTACTCAATCTGCTCTAAACTGGTTTGAAAACTATTTTTCAGAACGCACTCAATGTGTGACAGTAGAAAATTATAATTCACCATTTCTAAATGTTAACACTGGGGTTCCCCAAGGATCGGTTTTAGCTCCGTTGTTATTTTCTATTTATATTAACGATTTAGGTCACGGAATAGAATCAGCAAAAATACATCTGTATGCCGATGACACAATAATATATACAGCAGCACATTCTTTAAACCAAGCTGTACAACATCTACAGATTGCTTTTCAAATATTGCAGTGTACGTTGCAAAATTTAAAATTGGTCTTAAATTCAAAAAATACTAAATATATGATTTTTAGCCGTGGCCGCATTAAGTCAACAGATCAGACAATAAAAACTCTGAACGGTGTTCAAATAGAAAGAGTTAGCTTTTATAAATATTTAGGAGTTTGGATTGATGAGAGATTAGCCTTTGATATACATATTGACAAGTTACTGAAAAAGCTTAGGCCAAAGTTAGGTTTTTTATACCGGTCAAGAAATTGTTTTCCTTATAAAGTCCGCAAAAAATTAGTAGAGAGTACATTTCTGTCTATAATGGATTACGGTGATCATCTCTATATGCACGCAACCGCTACCCTATTAAGAAAATTAGATTCTGTTTATCATGCAGCAATACGTTTTGTCACAGGTGCAGATTCACGGACGCATCACTGTATTTTGTATGATTCCTTAGACTGGTTATCTCTATATCAAAGGAGAAAATTACATCTGTACTTATTTATTTTAAAAGCTCTTTTAGGTAAATTACCATCCTATATTTTTAATTTATTAACATTTCACACCAACAATCAAAATACTAGATCTGGTTCATGTATTCGTCTGATAGTTCCAAGGGCATTATCAGAACTTGGCAAACGTGCTTTTTCCGTTCACGCTCCCAGGGCTTGGAACGACCTGCAAAATCAGCTCAATCTTGACACTCTTCCGACTCTGAGTACTTTTAAACATCTTTTATACAACATTTTAAAGGACACCTGCAATTGTTTGTTATGAGCTGATGTTTTTAAGAATGGTGATTTTGTAATTTTGTGGTATTGTTTGTGATTTTTATATGAAACTTTATGTGTTGCCTGCCATCTTGACCAGGTCTCACTGGAAGAAGAGACAGTACTGTCTCAATAATGTGATCTCCTGGCTAAATAAAGGAAAATGAAAAATGAAAATAATGAATTGTCCTTATCTGCATATAAGTAAATATGTGTTCATGTTCCACATTTACCTGCTTGTCATACTCCTCCATAAAGCAGCCCCTATAATGAGAGAAATAAACACCAATGGGATCTATATCAACATTTGATTACATGCTCAACAGTAACCACTGTCACACAGAGATGTTAGAGTTTTTATGTGATGAAATAAATCCACACCTTTTGATCTGGAAAGAGTCACGTATCTCATTAGCTGGACCACTACTAGAAGAGCCAGACAAATGGAGATGAGGGTGAACACTCGACAGGGACTGAGCGACACAAACCTGCATGGGAAAAACAAAACAAAACAAAAACAGGTTTTCTTATCTTTCATCAACAAGTGTACATATCACTTTCATTTTATAGAGCATGTTTTTTAAAGCCATGGTACACTCTCGGAAATAAGGGTACGCGATCTGTCACTGGGGTGGTACCTTTTCAAAAGGTACAAATTTGTACTAAAAGGTTCATATTAATACCTCAAGGGTGCATATTAGTACTTAAAAAGTACTATTTCTAGTTACTAATATATACTTTGAGGTACCAATATAAACCCTTTAAGTGCAAATGTGTACCTTTTAAAAAAAAAGGTACCACCCAAGTGACAGCTAGCGTACCTTTATTTCTGAGTGTATTATCTATGACTGGCATACATTTGAAGCCATTAAGCAATTAGTACATGCTCACGTGTTGTTATTTCTGTTTACAAGATACCTCTCATGTAAAATCATGTGCTTTGAGGGTGAAATTAAATCTGGAAGGAACACCAAATTACTACTTACACAGTTATGTTAACGCAAACACACTGTTTATCCACACGCCACAAAAATATTTCTTTGAAATGCCAGAATAAGATTTCTTTAATTAAACATTTAAACATTTTTGTTTGTTTGTTTTTAAAATGTAAGATATATTTTAATATTATAGGATTAAAAAAAATTATTCCAACCAAAAACAAATGAATAAAATATAAATGGGAACAATACTGAAAATAATATGCATTTTACATAGAGGACATAGCAAATGCTAATTTGCATCATAAGCCCAAAGTGATATAATAAAGTTTAATATTATATTAAATAGTATTAATATATATTTTTATAATAACATTAATGTTTATTGATTATAATTTTGCTAATAAGACCATCTGACAACAATGACTGAATGTTTTTTTATTAACAATGCTTGAACAGTAACAGAAAGGCATTAAAACTTTTTAGAATTACACAAAAACTGAGATAACAATCAGATTACATACATTCACAATTTTTTTCATCCTCATTAATAATACAACATAAATAAATAATAAATAAAATAACAAAAATCAACAAAAAATAAATAAATGCTAAAGAAACTTAAGAAGCAGGGGAATTAAAGTTCTCAAAATATGAAACCAAAATCATCTAATGATGAATATAAATTTCTTGCTTTTTGGCTTTTCATCTTCTGTCAGCCATAAAACTAAATTAAATAACGAGGGAACATGTAAAACAGTACTAATAATAATAATAAATACAATAATAAAGGAAATTCCTTCACATTAGTACATTAGTGTCCTCTTTTAATTATATAATACTTTGTTAAAGGGTTATTATTTGATACTAACAGGCCTATTTAAAAACTTCTTCAAATAAGTAAAGGAAACAATTACAACGTGCACAAAAGAATTCACCACTGTACTTACAACAACACAACTAGACTATAGACAATCACACATACAGAGAAAAGAGTCGAGGGAAAATGCCTGTGGGGCAAGTGAGCAAAAAAATCAGTTAGGCCTGCTCATTAAATTAGGCAGAGAAAGTGCATTGGAAAGCGATAAAGACTGCCCTTAATGAATACTTATTAATGCAAACATTTTATTTAAACTCCAGCGTTGTGTTATTTGCAAATATATGTTAAATGCGTCTTCATACATCCTGTATTGAATACAAATCAGTGCACAAGGAAAATACGCTGCGTCATGAGTCTCACCAAAACGCTATATTTGTAGTTGCGAAGAAAGCGGAAGTCCATAATGGTCTTTTCCAGTTAATGAGCTTTGAGAAGCGGCACAGCGGATAACAGGCTGCAGGGTATCGGACTTCCGAAGGCTGCTGCTGTCTCTGCTCGTCCTCTTTCTCCGCCATCGTCTCTCCTCCACCTAAGTTGAGTGTTGTGGTGGAGCTCTGGTCCACCGGCTCCACCTCTGAAGCATCCAGGCTGTCGCATCCGCCCCGACGATGAGCCATAGCAAAGAAACACGAGCGCGCGCCCTGCTCCTCACGCGCACTGCCAGCTGCTGTTTACTTTGTTGTTGTTTAGTCGCTGACGTCACGCAGAGTCAGCTTCGGGTTGCTGTTGGGAACTCTTACGTCATCGTTTAGTCAGCTGTGCGACTTCCACCTGTTCCAGGTTGCCTGTGGTGAGAAACTGCAGCCAAATCAGTGTTTTGTTTGGTTGTATTTACATTACAAGCAAGCAGGCTAATGCATTCTATGTTTGTTGTTCTTCTTCCTATAACTGGTTTTAAATCTTTGAAAAATACTTTATTTTTTATGTTACTTATTTTGTTTATATTTAGGTCATCTAAGATTTTATTTCCTCTAAAAGACAAAATGTGAATGAGCTCAATAAATGATTTAACCGCTAGGGCGCAGTGTATATACTGCAACGTGTTTACAGACGCCTGTGTTATGTGCTGGCAGAAAACACACACACACACACACACACACGCACGCACGCACGCACGCACGCACGCACACACACAGTCACACACTTACACAATCTTTAGCTTATAGCTTCTGTTAATAATCATATGGCAAACCGGCTCAAGGTTTGGTGTCAGTAAAACTTGTTTTAAAATAAGCTTATCCTGCTCACCGAGGTTGCATTAATTTAATCAGAAATACAGTACAAATTGCAGTGGTGTAAAGTAACCAATTACAAATACTCAGACTACTGTAATTGAGTAGTTTTTCTCAGAAATTGTAATTTACTAAATAGTTTTAAAAATTTGTACTTTTACTTTTCCTTGAGCACATTTTTAGTGCTGTATTGGTAATTTTACTTTACTATTTTCCTTCAAACTGCTGTCACTACTTTATTATTTCATGTCTATGGGGATTAGAAAAATCAGTCCTGTGATTTCTGTCCAATCAAATCACAAATATAAAGTAAATGACATGCAGCAAACAGTATTAAAGGTGTCCAAGAAGATACTTTAGACACAATGAAGAGACTACTGCGTGTCACTGATGAGAAGATAGCAGATGTCGACTGTATGATGACTGAAGTGGCCTTAAACAATAACTAAATGCACTACAGAATGTTACGATTACACACACAAGCACAAAATACATGTAAACGCATCAACCTATTGTAATACTCACTACTTTTGAGTACTTTTAAAATGACTATTTTTATAGTCTATTCTTTCCACCACTGACAAATAGTAAAATTGTGAATTGCTATTGCACTATAAAATAACTGTTCAAAAGTAGTTTATAATTCAATTTAACAATTTATTCCAGTGATTTTAAAAGATGATATTAATTAGTATTATTAATATTATTATTAATATTCTTATTATTAGGAGCGATGCAGCGATGCAGCTCACAGCAAGAAGGTCGCTGGTTTGAACCTCTGGTCAGTTGGCGTTTCTCTGTGGAGTTTGCATGTTCTCCCTGCATTCGTGTGGGTTTCTTCCGGGTGCTCCGGTTTCCCCCACAGTCCAAAGACATGCAGTGTAGGTGAATTAGGTAGGCTGAATTGTGTGTGTGTGTGTGTGTGTGGATGTTTCCCAGAGATGGGTTGCGGCTGGAAGGGCATCCGCTGTGTAAAAACGTGCTGGATAAGTTGGCAGTTCATTCTGCTGTGGCGACCCTAGATTAATAAAGGGACTAAGCCGACGAGAAAATAAATGAATTATTATTATTAATGGTAATAGTAATAATAGCAATAATGACTGGAGTAATCATTTAATTTGAAACTACATACGATAAGCAGTTTTAATACCTTTTTTATATTTAAAATGTAACACTTTATTGCATTTAATAAATGCTGCCTTGATAAACAGAATAAAAAAAATTAAAGGTACAGTAATTCATAATTTAAGCATACACTCTAAAATAGTAGCTGTCAAGCAAAATAACATTTATCTCAGGTTGCACTTTTGAGGAGAACATTGCATAACAATTGCTAAACAAAGTGGCCATATTGGAAAAATCTTTGATAATTGTGATAAAGCCATCCACTGAAATGGACATAGACCTTCTTCCTGCATACTTTTCCCATAACCCGAGAGCTGATGTTAAAGCATGCAGATAGGTGGAGGGAACAAACAAGGAAAGCATATATTTGCACTAATGATTTTCCATCTATTCATTCATTCATTCATTTTCTTGTCTGCTTAGTCCCTTTATTAATCTGGGGTCGCCAAGGCAGAATGAACCACCAACTTATCCAGCAAGTTTTTATGCAGCAAATGCCCTTCTAGCCGCAACCCATCTCTAGGAAACATCCACACACACACACACTCATACATTACGGACAATTTGCCTACCCAATTCACCTCTTCCACATGTCTTTGGACTGTGGGAGAAACCGGAGCACCCAGAGGAAACCCACGCAAATGCAGGGAAAACATGCAAACTCCACACAGAAACGCCAACTGACCCAGCCAAGGCTCGAACCATGCAACCCAGCAACCTTCTTGCTGTGAGGCGACAGCACTACCTACTGCGCCACTACTTTACCTGATTTTCTATCCAATTGTTTCATATTAATGTAAATGTATAAAATGTTTAAGAACAAATAAATTGTGTGCAGGTGACACGGTGGCTCAGTGGTCAGCACTGTTCCTTCACAATAAGAAGGTTGCTGGTTTGAGTCTCAGGTCATGTTTGCATGTTCTCCCCGTGTTCCTGTGGGTTTCCTTCGGGTGCTCCGGTTTCACCCACAGTCCAAAGACAGGCAGCATAGTTGAGGTAAATAAGCTAAATTGGCCGTAATGTATGAGTGTGTATAAATGTTTCCCAGTACTGGGTTGCATCTGGAAGGGCATCCTCTTTGTAAAGCATATGCTGGATAAGTTGGTGGTTTATTCCGCTGTTGCGACTCTTGATGAATAAAAGGACTAAGACGAAGGAAAATGAATGAATGAATTTTGCATGCATGACCCAAGGAGGTCTCAACTGGCCAGGTGACACTGCTGTGTTCTGTCATTTATTTCCATTCCAACATGACAGTGTTGTTCCCATTTGGAATTTTCCCAGCCCTCCTCTCCCCCAGGACCACCTGCCGAAATCTAAAACAGTTGGTTCTCCCTGCTTTCAATGTTATAGCATGTTTATTTGTTTTTTGCATGTTTTGGCAGTAGCCCTCACTCAACAGCAGTGTAGCAGATCTAATCCATTAAAACATTTTACAATTAAAAGTCAATTCTATATCTTGCTGTAAAGTCAGAGAGAGGGAGAGAGAGAGAGAGAGAGAGAGAGAGAGAGAGTGTTGTGGATATTATCACTCAAGAACCTACATAGATGAAGACGGTTAATATGTCTCATTTTTGTTTTTATTGAATTCCAGCCCCCAACATGTTATTTTAAAAGCAAACCTATAAGTATTGCCAATGTATTACACAAATAGTAGTGTGAAACTTCACTTCCCTTTGAAAAAGGCAGTAGTACCAGTAAATTCTCATTTGATATGATAAATTCTCATTAATTTAGGACACAGAATCAGTGAACAGCAATGACCTAATTTCTTGCACAGTGAACTTTTTACATTGGCATTCAAAATGAAAGTTTAAAATAAGTTTCAAATGAGTTTAAAACATATCATACTACTCTATATTCTGAATCGAGCATGCCTTCAGCCAAAAAACCATCTCCTTTTTTGGAATAATCCAGCATTGAGCAAGCAGAAACTGTACCAGAAAGAAGAGCGAAGCCACTAATTGGACTGAATTTCAGTGGCAACAAAAGCTCTGGCTAGAAAATTCCAGCCTGGTTTTACAGGACCTGCTTTGTTACCGCACTGTTTGTTCTCTACTGCTGTGTTAACAGTTATCTTTTCGGTGGTGGCCTCTCCCCACCCTTCTACACAGTGCATGAAATGTTCCTCAGCACAAACCCATCCAGACCCACAGTAGCACAGTGCGGGTGATGCTACGTTCTGCACGGGACACCATCCAGACTCCAGCAGTAGCCCTGCAGCTACCGCGCAACCATGTTCCCGCACAGCTTTGACTACAACCAGCCGATGAGAAAGCGTTGACAAGAAGGAGATATGATGGGACAGCTCCCGGAGGAGGATTTGGTGGGTGGATTTACCACAGAGGAACTGGAATGCAAGATCTGCTACTGTGCTTACAGCCTGTCAAGTCGACGGCCCAAAGTTCTTAAGTGCTGCCACTGTCTGTGTGCCAAGTGTCTTGCAAAAATCCACGATTTAGGTGAATCCTCTCCAAATGCGGTGATTTGTCCATTCTGCCGCTACATCACAGAACTTCCCAGAGAAGATGTGGATAGTCTACCAGATGAGTACAACTTGGTGTCAGCGCTTTTATCCTTCCAGATGAGGAAGAGTCACAACCTGCAAGACAACCAAGGTGAGATTCTCCTCAGTCCCAGACGACTCACCTCCTTGGTGGGACACTCAGCTTCAGCTTCTCCGACCTCAATTCGCTCCAATTATGTGGTGATCACCATTATGGAGCCTCGGCAAGAGTCTGTTATTCCATCTCCAGGTAGGGATTATCGATCTTCCAGCCTGGACTCAATGGCCTCAGTTACCAATAGATGGACAGTGTGGAACTGTGCGGCCCTCCTGTGCCAGACCTCTGCACGCGTCCTGGTTTGGCTGTTGGGACTGCTATACTTCAGCTCGCTGCCTCTAGGTGTGTACCTGCTAATCATGCAGCACACCACCATAGGGGTGCTGATGGTCAGTCTGGTACCTGTCAGTCTTCTCATTGTCATGGTGTACGGCCTTTGCCAATGCCTGTGCCGTGAGTTTTGGGACTGTGTACCACCGTAATGACCAAAGCAACTTTTATATATATATATATGATGATTGGATGTGCTAATAGTCCTGCCGGTTTGTGGAAACTTGTGTGTTAATGGATAAACAATGCATACTGAAGTGAAAAATGTGTACAATAAAAATGCAGAGGTTTAATTTAGCTTCATGCAAATTGATGTTGTTTAAATTTAACACTTAAAATGATTCCACATCTTAAAAAAATATCTCTTTTATAACCTTATGTATATGTTTGTTTAATGTAACTTTTACTGGAGTATTTGAAAGGATCAGGGAAGTAATTATTCAATCTAGGTCATTCATTTCACAGTCTTATTACTTAACATTAACTTTGTTAGAAATGTTAGTCATTGAAGGTTTGCAATATGAAGTCTTAACCTTCAGCATATTGAATTATGGGGGACCTCTTTTTATAATTTAATCATGTTTAATAGTTTGACCATGCTTTACTTGGAACACAAATGTGTGTGGTGCATGAACATGTCAGAACATGTTTGGAAGAAAGTAACATGCATACATTTTTCCACATCATAACAAATGTACAAATTAACCATTTTATCACAAGAATGTTGGAGAATGCACTTTATACCATGCATACAGAAAAGAACTGCATCAACAGGACAAATGGGAAGATCAACTCTCATTATAGAGGACGGGAAAATCAACACATCAGATCAAGGTGAATTACTGCATTGTACTTGTTAAGCAAATGTGAAGATTTGTTGCACAAGACTACACAGACTTTGTAGACAATATTTTCTACAAACAATATTTTGTATTCTGTTTTGAAAAACGTTTGATTGCTGCCCTAAATGCTCACAACCTGTCTTAAAATTCCACAATCATTTCTCTATGTTAAATCACAAGTCGTGTGTACTCTGGTGTAGTGTTGTCCAAAGCATTGCAAATGTTAGATGGCCCTAAATCTACACCACAACTGCACTGTCCCATGACATGAACATGACTTAATAAATAAAACGTTGCAATTTGTAAACACGCGTGTATATTATCATTGTCTCGGCCATTTTTAAACTATCGATAACAATCAAAGTAAAAGAAGAACATGTTATTGATAGCTTGTGTCTAGTCATGTACCAAGTCCTCGAGGAAGTATGACTGGACCTTGAGAGAGCCAATCAGATCGTCGGATTTCACACTAACAACAAACAAAAGATCGGGGTTCCCTCTGCTGCTGTCTTTCTGCTCTTTTTGCCCGATTTCGTCTGTCCGTTCGGCTGGATGTCGTCTTAAATAACACGGATCAACTTTCTGGACGTCTGTTATGTTTTTGTAAGCTGCCGTTTCGCTCTGTTGGCGTGATTAATTCCCTCTAGCGTCTTGCTAACTCTATCAGAGAGGCTGTTTGCGGGCTAATCGCAGTTAGCTGGCTGGCTAGCCGTCCGATCCGAATAAAACAAGCCCGAAATCTCGGCGGCTCTTCTCCTGCGGTGTCTGACAGTGGTCGCCTGGGCCACTGGACACTGTTAGAAAGCTGTCCAGCTAAAGATAGCTGGCAAGCTGTTGGTATCGACGGCAGGAATCGGATCGCGATGTCAGGACCGTCATCGGGCTGTGGGTTTCTGATGTCGGTTGTTGTTCACGGAGACTTGGCTCTCAACGAGCAGGAAAAAGAGCTCAACCAGCGGCTTAGACGCCTTTACCCAGCCGTCAACGAACAGGAGACCCCACTGCCCAGATCCTGGAGCCCCAAAGACAAATTCAGCTACATCGGCCTGTCTCAAAACAACCTCCGGGTGCATTATAAAGGTAACCAAGGCTAACAACAGCAGATGAACACAAACACCAAGTTGTTTACCAACTAAATGCTGAAGGCATTAAGTTAACGTTAGCCAGGTTAGCTCGTGTCAAGTTACACATCTGATTAGTGATATTAAAAAGACACTTTTTAGCTTCAGCGTAGTCGTATTGTGTCCAAACCTATTTTTTATCAACAAACACTGCTAAATGATTAAGAAATGGGGGCATATTTGAAGTCCCAATCGAGTATATTATCATAGACTACATAAATAGACAAGTGTTTACTAGCAACTTTGTTTAGTAATGTTAACTAAATGCTTAGTCGACGTTTAAATAAAAATAGCCTCCCTTTAGCATTATTTTTTAGCAGCATTCTCGAGCAGTCTACATTGACCATTAATTGAACGAATGCAAATGTTATGTTTTTTTTAAATAATATGTACACACGATATGTAAGTTTGGATAATGAATTATGAAAAGTGTTACGCTGTAAAGTGTAAAGTTCGTGCACTGTAACAAGGACATGGTGGCGAGTTTGAGAGTAGCGTGCTATAAAGATGCTACTGTAATTTCCGGAAGCACCTTCTCTATGGGGTTTCACTGCTGAAATGCAGGCATTGTCAGCTTATTTGACAACACGATCAGTGTACAAAGGCCATGTCTTCATACAGACGCTGATGATCGAGCCTGTCGCATTATAAGCTCTAGCTAGGCCCGTATGTGTGTTTATCTGCAGAGGCAGGTTTTCTGGCATCGTCAGTGTGTCAGGGGTTTACTAGAAATTAACCAGATAAAAAAGAGCTGCAATATATGTGTCATTTGATTACCATATTTAGTTGTTAAATAAGCTTCTGTAATCCTGAGGGGTGTCTGCCATTTCCCTCAGCTGAGTCATAAAGGTAGGCCACAGAATTGATCAGACGTTTAGTGCTGACGACAGGTAGGTTTCAGGTAGACTTCCTTAAATTACCACCAGTAGGCCAAGATGACTTCGTAAATGTACAATCTGCATATAAGCTTAGAAGTGTACTGTGTGTATGTCTGGGTTTAAGGGATTAAATGTTACCAAAATTGACAAAATGCCAAATAAATAAAGCCAAGTAAATTCAGACATAAAAGAAATAGATAATAAAAAAATAGATAATTAAAAAAAATAAATAAATAGTTGATTGAAGGCTTGGACAAAATGTTTTGTTTTCTGTTATTTTAAGGTTATTTTTAAAAAGTGTTTATGGGACATTCTACCAGAGACGTACATTATCTGTCTCTGAAATAAAAACATAAATTCAGTGAATAAAAAGTATTTCATCCCAAAAATGTCTCAAATGTACTGATGGTTGATTTATGTGAGTTATATGTTATGCGAGGAATATGTTCATTTGGTTTTCAGATTTTATTTTTCTTTATTAAAAATACTTTACGAATGTACAGACCCTGTCATTGTTTTTGACCTCAGCCCAATTGAACCTACAGCTATGCTAAAAACAGTTGTATAGTAAAAAATACTCTAAGTTTAAGTTGTTATCATTCACATCCATTGATTAAAAATATGAAATTATAATACAAATTAATGTACAATTGTTCCACTGTTTCTGTCAGTCCTGTCACATCTTTCATTTTTAAGGCTATGATGCAGAAGCGACATCATTTGATGAAAAAGAAGCTGACAGTAATCAAGGATGCATTCTATCATTAAATTGTATAATTTTATGCTTGTTTTTGTATGATTTTTTAAGGAAGACAAACTTAAGTCGGGTCCTGTCACATTTTATAAGTGAAAATGTATGTAACTGGTAAAATGTCCCATATATGCATAATTCTGAAACAACAACTCAAGGTGCTTTACATTTAAAAGAATAAAGAAAGAATCATAAAATTATCACAAAAGAAGTGGAAGAAAAAAAATGAATATATGCATTATGTAATACAATAATATATACAATGAAATTATCAAATATACCTGTATAGTTTTGTTTAATAAATTAATAATAGAGTTAATGCTTGTACAGAGACAGAAGTGACCTATAGCTGTTAGATAAAATGTAATTGGTGTATCAAAAGTGAGTGTTGTTAAATACACCTATAAAGTTGTTTTAATAAAAAAAAACTTTGAAATTGAACAAACAAGAGTTAAAGTAATACAAATTGTCTACATTAGTCCTTAGAGATGTATTATATTCATATATTTAATATATTTTGTGAATGATTTGCTGCTGCTTTTGTATTTGATATTGGATTGGTTTTATTACTGTCATCATGTTTGTTTAGAATTTAAGAACTTGTTTCAATTAACAGATTTAACTGAAATGTTCAAAATAATAACAATACATAAATCATTTTTTACTCTGATTTGTTGATAAAAAAAAAAAAAATTTCAACCTTATACCAGTGCTTATTCCAATTGAATTAAGTGTGATGTTAAAAAATAAAAGCAAATGTGCAGAGTGTTTGCTGTTGCCAGGCAAAACATCACATCAACTCTCACAGCAAATACATCATTTTGCTAAGTGTTTTTTGCCAAGGCGACCTCTGTGGAAATTATAAGTTTACAAATGCTCCAGTGCTTCTTGTGAGTGATGCTAACCACTTGCAATTGTAAATTGTTATGTTTGTGTCATCCAGGTCATGGAAAGACCCCTAAAGATGCTGCATCTGTCCGTGCAACACACCCGATTCCAGCTGCATGTGGGGTCTATTACTTTGAGGTGAAAATTATCAGTAAAGGACGAGATGGGTACGTGGAAATAATCTATATTTTGAGTACATTATTTTGCATAATGAGTGTACTCAATTGTTTATTTATGTGTTGCTGGACAACTTATGCCATATGCATTTTTCATTTACTAATGGCTTCAATTATCAGTCAACCATGGTTGATTTATTGTTGTCGAGGGAAAATAATAAGAGTTTTGCAAAAATTTGATAAACTGAACTGATTGGTGAGTGATGTCAAAGTATTGTGAGTGTGATTACGATGCCTTTGTATGATATTAAATTGCTTTTGTTGTTCTTAGACATCACACATAGACGTGTCTGCCCTAGTGATCCTTCAAGTCAAACTCACCTAATATTAAGATGACTGCGTTCCATTTCCACATACATGAACTCACAAACTTCCCTTCACTTGTTCCCTCGGGGGAATCCTCACCCCCATTTTAAACTGCATTCCACTTCATCAAGTGAACGAGGACACCTTACATGGACATTCCCTCGATTTTGATCAAGGGAGCGAATTGGCTTCATATGTCCACCTCCGCACTTATATATCCCAGAATGCAATGCGATTGGGACATCACAACAGTAGTTTCCAAGTGCTTAAGGGTTTAGGGCATTCCATTTAAACCCATTTAGATGTTCCACCAAAAGTTTACACTTGTGTAACGTAATCAATGACATACATCCAAGGAAACAAGACAGAGGGAAGTTGGTGAGTGAAGGGTGTAAACACTTGGACTGGAATGCAACCCTTGAGTAGTATGGTCGTCTGATCTAATCATGTGATCCTAACATGGCAGCCCCCATGAGGTGACCAAGGGCCTGTACCATAATGGTGGGTGAACAAACTTAGGTTTACTTCCAGTTGACAAAACCAAATCAGTGCAATTAGGCTTTATTGGTACCATGTCACTGATCAGCAAATTTCTCCGTTAACTCAGGCTCAAATTCCGAATTAAAGCCCATGTGTACATTAAGGCGGGACATCAGTAGTAATGCTTTGGAATATACTGCGATTGACTTCTCACAAGAGAGCCAGGCCCAGTCACAAGCAAATTTTGTAATGCAAGAAAATAGCAAAGAAAGAAGACAGCTAAAAGAAAACCGCTTGCCTTATTAGTGCACATGTAGATGTGAAGTCAGTATGTGTAGTTGATAATATGTGTTGTATAGGTATGCAGTGACTCAAAAATGATTGTCAGGGGTATTATCAGGGGACGCCACAGCAGGATGAGGCCAAATATCTGTACACTAACACTAGAACACTTACCAGCAAACCCTCAGTGCTGGTAAACACTCACAAGCTCTCTCATTCACACAGTCATACACTACCACCATTTTTGTTTATTTTTATTTACCTATCCTGCATGTAATGCGTATTTATATAGAGAATTAATCATGTATGGTATACACCCAAAGTGCTTGACAGTTATGAGGGGTGGGGTCTCTCCACACCACCAATAGTGTGCAGCATCCACTTGCATGATGCGACGGGAGCCACAGGACAAGAGCGCCAGTGCGCTCTGCTTACCACACACCAGCTATAGATGGAATGAAGAGACAGTGATCGAGCCAATTTGGTGCATGGGAATGATTGGGTAAAGGCCGATGGAGGGAATTTGGCCAGGACACCCCCCACTCTTTTACAAAAAGTGCCATGTGATTTTTAATGACCACATAGAGTCAGGACCTTGGTTTAACGTCTCATCCGAAAGACAGATGTCTTTGCACTGTATGGGAAATCAGAGCACCAGGAGGAATTTAATTTGCAGCAAGAGAAATGGGAGAAGTGGTTTGATATGTGTTGCTTTGCTCACGGTTGGTTGAATCTCGGTTTGTAAACTCAAAACCAGAATATAACCAGCACTTAAAACCAAAAATTGGTGCAAATTAAACTGAATCTTTACTGGCTAGCTAGCTATTCTGGCTTCATGGTACAGGCCCATGGTCCATCTAGAAGACAACATCTTTATTCAGTCAATGATTATTATGACTAAGGCGCTGTCCGCACAAAACTGCAATTTTTTTAGGCGCAGTTTAACCGTTTGTCCACGCAAAAAACAGTGTCAGTTAACTAAAACCAAAACTTTCGGAAAATTCTGGCCAAACTTTGAGTGCAGTATGGTTGTGTGGATGATATAACCAGAGTGTTTGCTTTGTGACATCAGCATGCAACACTGCTGGGATCACACCAAACGCAGAAGAAATTCCACACATTCGCAGCAAATGCATAGCATATTTTGTTTCGTTTGCCTATGGGTCTCTAATCCGCCTCTGTTTTCATGTTAGTGTTGATTTGTATGCAATTTACCCATGCAAATACTTAATTTGTGCCCTTAACATGCATCTCAGTGCATTTTTTAATTTTCATGTGGACGAAGATTTTTATAAAAATACCCATGAACATGTGAACATGGCCAAAAATGAAAACGAAAATGTTGAACTACTTAAAAATAAATGGTATCAAAAATAAAATCCAGTATGGAAAAAAAACATTTTATTTAACCTAGTTGACAAGGTGAGATTTCCTATTTTCATCTTGCATAACTTGATGGTATTAAAAAGTTAAATGAAAAAAAATGTAATTAACAACTATATATTGACACATTTTGCTCAAATTCACACAATGGAATTACTTAAATGAAACAAGAACTAATTGACACTACTAAATTAGTATAGTTATTGTCAGTAAGAGTATAATTAACAGTGTGATACTACCATACTGTTAATGTCTTATGAGTGCACAATTTTTAAAGTGAGCACTCTATTAAACAGTCATTTGCATTACACATTTGCTGTTCATTTGTGTCACCAGGTACATGGGGATTGGCCTGTCAGCTCAAGGTGTCAACATGAACAGACTTCCAGGTAAAAATGGTTTTCAGGCACTAAGGAGTCACTGAACTTTTACTGCTAGTAACATATTAGCTATGTCATGTTTTCAGGTCGCGTTCTGTTTCTGAAGCACTATGGAGGATCAGGTTTAAAGTTTAGATGCTAGCAGTGCTCATGTTAACTTGATCCTCCACCTTTATGATGCTCACAGACACTGGGTGGTTCCTGCAGCTTGCCAGGGAGATAAGAGTTTAGAGAGATTAGTGCTCTTTAGTGCTATTATATTTTATTGTTCTAAAAAAAAATCTGCATTATGTGCACAATGTTCTGTTCTTAGGTTGGGACAAACACTCATATGGCTACCATGGGGACGATGGCCACTCTTTCTGCTCTTCTGGCACTGGACAGCCCTATGGACCTACATTTACAACAGGCGATGTGATTGGCTGCTGTGTGAACCTCATCAACAATACCTGTTTTTACACAAAAAATGGCCACAGTCTAGGTAGGAAACATTTGCATTATTTGTCCTTTCTTTGTTATTGATGTTGATTAAAAATATTAGTTCAGTAGACTTTAACATTATACACATCTCTTTGAATGGGATGATTAGTACAATTTTAGTACAATTTAGGAGTTTATATATAAGTTTGAATGTTAATAGACTTGCGCACACTTGGATAAATGAAAATGTAATTCTTCCTTTTTTTTCCCCAGGCATAGCTTTTACAGATTTACCGGTAAGTTTCATTCTTTTTCAATCTCCTTTGAGACTGAAGTTGCAATATTTATATTCAGTGCTTCCCACACATAGACTTTACTTGGGCAGGCTGCCCCAGGTATATTAACGGCCGCTCAAGTATATTTGGTGGTGACAAGTGAATAATACTACTAGTATCATCCTTTTACACTTTTTTGTATTCGTCCAAGATAGCAAAACATTGGCGATCAATTAACCAGCGGAAAATGTTCTCTCGCACTGCACGTTTTCTCCTTCTCGTTGTGTGTGTGCACGAACCACCAACACTCGCCGAGATAATCTCACATGCTCTGCAGACTCACAGAGAAGCGCCTTTTGCACCAAGATACATCCGACCGTAGTTTCTGAATCTCCTAAAATGTCCGGAATTTGGTTTTTGCTTTCACTTTCTCAAGTTGAGGTTATTTATGTAACCTTTATACATTTGTATGCGTTTTTGCATAACCTTTTCGCAGCTAACTGCGCGCACAGCCGCGAGAGAAGCATTTAATAATTATTTATTTAATAAAAGACTCTGATAAACTTTACTATATATTCAGATAAAACTAAATATACTGGCTGCAAAATATGTGTACTCCATTAGAAATGGCTAATCAACTAATTTGCTTTATTTAAATAATCTACACTTTTTATTCTAGTAATTATTATAATTTTAAGCAATGATGTCTGTTTTTATTCTTTTTAGTTATTTCTCGTTTGCTGTATTTTATTAATTTAATGATGTTACTATATTACGGACTTCTTACATATCTAAAATGCTTTGGCAATACTGTAAATGTCATGTCAATACAATCAACTTTAGGGACAGAGAGAGCAGCTTTTACCTGTCAGTGGGTGCACATGGCTTCTAAATAGCATAAAAGTAAGAAATAGTGGATTTAATTTATTTCAACAACCTTTTTAAAATAACTTTAACGCATTGAAAAGAAATGGTGTATTACAGTGTCATAATAAATAAAATATAATTAAAAATCACATCTTGTTTGCTGCATGTAGTTGACCATTTATGTGCTGAGGAGAAAATGTGTATTTCAATGCAGCTACCACAGTCAGCAAGTATATTTCAAATCTGTGGGAAGCACTGATATTATATAATAATGTACTATTGCTCAATGTTTTGAGTTGGTTAGATTTTTTTTTTTAATTATAAAAAAAAAGAGGTATCTTTGATAAAAATGTGTAAACCTGATGGTACTGTTAAATTATTCAAGATCAAAATTTAGAACCATAAAAAAAGAGGTATCTAATGCATTTAAAATGAGTCGAGTCCGTAAACTAATTGTAGAAATGTTTTATGTGCCCAAGCAGCATTTTTCATTGTTATCAGTGTTTAAAAAGATTTAATATATTTGTAAATAAAAACAGTCATACATTTTTTTTCAATATTTATGATTAATAAAAAGTTATTAATTGAAGTAAATAAATATATACATTTTAAATGTTTACTGTTACTTTTAACCAGTGTTTAATAAATAAAAGTTAGGATTTCCTTTAAAATCATCTTACTTATATCTAACAACTGTGATGTGTATTTATTCTATAGTTTTGTTAAGTCTTTACTTGATATTAGTTTTTTTGACAACTATTGTGACATGTCATTTTCTGCCTAAAGGTCATGGGGTGATTGATTATTTTTCTATTATTCACTATTGTGAATATCCCCCATTTTTAGATGTAATAGAGGAAACCTTTTGGTATTGTTTTGTCTTTCCTTCCTTTCTTCATCATTCAAGATGTTGGACTTGACAGCCCCAAGCACTTCTCTCGCTGACTGAACAGAGGCCTGTTTGGGGCTAAAACAATAATCCATTGAGCAGAAAACACAGTTGGCTGGTGACCAGCATTCATGTTACTCTGAGTATTTCTGTGAACCATGTCAGTTTAGCAGACCTGACCTTTCTTTCTATTGGACGATGAGCACAGAAGGCATCGCAAAATGACTAATGTGTGCCTGCCCCCTGACCTGACCGATGAGCAACATTTGAATTGTGTAGTTGTGTTTAGAAATCCATTTCAATCTGATTCGTCTTAGTGTAAATGCGTATGACAGACATGAACTGAGGCACATTTTCACTTCAAGTAAAATATATTTGTGTAGCACTGTGGACTGCTTCCAGGAAGCTTTAAATTAATAGTTTTTTCCCAATGGAGATGCACTGTATAAACCTTCAGTTAAGGTTTTAATTTTAATTATTTTTCAAATATTTCCCTATTGATGACCAAAATTAATAAACAATTTTGTCTTTGCCATAAGGACAGTACATTTAAAGGCTCAGCTGGGTTAATGAGGTTAACTGGGCAGGTTAAGTTATGTAGGTCAGTCATTGGACAACACTGGTCTGTTCTGTAGCCAGTCTAAAAAACTTAAAGGGATAGTTCACTCAAAAATGTCATTTCTGCCATCATTTACTCGCCCTGTATTTGTTTTAAACCTGCTTGAGCTTCTGTTGAACACAAAAGAAGAAATGTTGGAAACCTGTAACCAATGACTTCCACAGTATTATAATGTTTTTTTTCATCCAAACTAAAATGATAAAAATATATTAAGAAATACTGTACAAGAAGTCCATGTTGTGTTCAAATCACTTGGAAAATATGTGTGAAAATTAAAATTTTACATCATGGCCAATAATTGTAGTCTTCAAATGTTAGAAGATATCCAAGTATCTTCCAAAAAAATCGTTCTTAGTGCATATTTATTGTCATTACAACCATAATAGACAAATTTAGCAGATTAAGTCAGGGCGATTCATATTTTCATTTCACAAAGCAACTGAGTTTTTAGATTTTATATAATTGACGAAAACCAATTGAATTAGTTGTCATCTACATTTAATTAACCATGCTTATTTTGCTTTCAGCCTAACCTGTATCCCACAGTGGGTCTACAGACCCCGGGGGAGGTCGTGGACGCCAACTTTGGGCAGCATCCATTTGTCTTTGATATTGAGGATTACATGCGGGAATGGAGAACCAAGATTCAGTCTCAGATTGACCGCTTCCCCATTGGGGAGAGAGAAGGAGAATGGCAAGCCATGATTCAAAAGTAAGTACTTTTGATTTGGAGTATGTTTTTAAGGTTAATTTTAGCACGTTCTAGTGGCAAATTTCCCCATTTCTCTTTCTGATTTTCATACTTTTTACTGTCTTCCCAGAATGGTGGCCTCCTATCTGGTTCACCACAGTTACTGTGCCACCGCTGAGGCCTTTGCCAAATCAACTGACCAGGCTGTACATGAGGAACTTGCATCTATCAAAAATAGACAGAGTGAGTCTAGTCAAACGTTCAGACTGTCTTTTGATTCTGTTTGCAGGGTTCCCACAGGTCATGAGATTTTAAAAGGTCTATTTCAGACATTAAAAGCCAGGGAATTATACAATATGTATATAATTTATTTTTTGTCCAAGTCATTGAATGTTAGTGAATTTGTTTGTCATTTAAAATTTTACTTCCCATTTATCAAAATGTATTTCATCTATACCATGTTTATTATGTTTTGCCTATTGTTACGGTTAGTTTATTTTTCATTGCCTTTCCCACTCATCAGCCGGCAATTAAACACATTTACCAAGCACTACCTGCTAAAATACTGCCTGTTTTAAGAATGCTGTTTTTTGTCTGTGAAAAAAACATTTCTGAATTATTGTGGCCTAAAATAACTTGGTTTGTGCTGACTTTTCTCAATTTTTTACCATTTGTGGCATTTTGTGTGTCGTTTGGCCATGAAAATACACAAATTTACTCATCTTAGTTCTTTATAACTTTTTTTTCCCTCAAGACTCATTGGTCTATAATTTTTACAAAGGAACACTGAGAGAAACTGAGAGAAAGTGTTTACCTCCTAACCTTAAAGCCTACAGAATCACCTTAAATACATGAATGACTCAATTAAAGTAAACAAAACTGGCACAATCTCTTCAACAATGAAATTAGAGAAATCATGTTAAAATCGACTGATTCAAAGAATGTAGCCTTGTTCAAATAGGCTTTGGCTGAATGCTCATTACAGTAACGTCACATGACACATCTAAAGTGGGTCACACACCTGAGGAGAAGCGGAATGCCCTGCCAGAATCTATGAAAACTCATGGTATTTCACACCAGATGAGCTCTTTCTGTACGCCAATATGGTTTTATTTGGCACAGCAGGAATTTTAACAGAATTCAAAATCTGCCATAATTAAAAAAGAGCTGGAAGCCCCTTGTGAACAATTTGCTTAATTTTGAGTTAAATTCAGCAATCATGGAATCACAAAATTTTGGAGAGAATGTTCTGGACAGACTGCTGCCTGTTTTTCTGTATAGCTCATGGAAATTCAGCTTTTTAGTCAGTAGAAGCAAAGTCTCTTTAAGGCAAGTCATTTCACTCGGTGGCCATCTTGGAAGCGCCTCTTGGGCAGTATGCCCGGGCATTCTGTTTGAATTGGAAAACATCAAATTTTCCAAAATTACTTGCCAAGCTTGCGATTAAATTCCATATTAGGAATAACCAATAAAATTAAACAATGACTGTCTATTTAGTTTCAATCCTAAATGTTTGTATCATGCAAATTATGCAAACACTCACATCAGGTCTGAGCCCCTCCCCCGGAGAGATGTCATTCTATAGCAACCTCTGATTGGCTTCTGTTCTCGAAGGTGGGCTTTATTCACCATATAGCAATTGCTGATTGGCTCTTGAACTAAAAGGCGGGACTTCATTTGCCATATTGTCTGTTACACTTTTCCCCATTCAGAAGTATATGAGTGACATGTCTCGTGTATTCTATAGTCTTTGTTAGAGAATTAGTCAGGGAATTTGACATTTAGATTAGTGTGGGAACCCTTTGTTTGATTATAAAGGTCAACATTAAGTAAGAATGACAATTTTTTTTCTTTCATAATACATCCTCAGCTGAATGACATGCTTCTCTGTAATGATTTACTATTTGTAATATCAGAAATCCAGAAGCTGGTCCTGTCTGGCAGAATGGGAGAGGCTATAGAGACCACTCAACAGCTTTATCCCAGCCTGTTAGAGAGAAACCCAGACCTCCTCTTCATGTTGAAGTGAGTGTGACATGTGCAGTCTTTCAAGAATGAACACCCATCCAGTGAAGACACTGTATACACGATGTGTGTCTCTCTTTACAGAGTCAGGCAGTTCATTGAGATGGTGAATGGCACTGACAGTGAGGTCAGGTGTCTTGGTGGCAGGAGCCCTAAGTCACAGGACAGTTACCCAGGCTCCCCTCGCCTCTTCAACAGCCCTGTTCACAAACCCAGCAGCTCCCAGGCTTACCAGACAGGTTGGTGCACTACACACATACCCTTTAATTGATCAAAGAAAACTGGTATAATTTCAAACAATGTCTTTCAGGGTAAAAAAAAAGTCTTGTCCAGAGAGTAGAGAAAATTCAGTATTCCTTTAATAGGGGTTTTATCTCTTTCTTTCTTCAACTTTGGCTAATCCCTGAAGCATACAATCACACTGGTGTGATTAGAATCAACAGCTAAATTCAAATGATTTAATATTAATCACAATTTATCAGCGTTTCAAAACAACAAAAAAAACATTTATTTTAGCTTTCAGAAATTCAAATACACACAAGTTCTAACAAAACATAGTATTTATGGTTTGTAAAATACACACGCTGGTACCAGAAACTTTTTTGCAAGTCACATGCAAATCCAGCTGTTGGTCATTGTGCAGCTGTTTGGGTTCCTCTACATTATCCATCTAAATGGATGACAGGTTTGCTCCATGGCCTTGTTGTATCTAGCTGTTTTCACACATGCACATTGATATGTTGTGGCCAACATTCCTGCTCCAACCAAAAAATAAAATGGATTTATTTTTAAAATATTAACAGATTTAATACACTTTTCTTTTTTTTAAATAATCTTATTAAAGTGGGAAACCACAACATTTGTTTTTAAAACATGGCAATGCTGCTGCTTTGGATGTAACACACTTGCCATTTTGATTTACAATGGAGTGGTGCAGGGTTGACATTACAAATGATGAGAATAATTCATTGTAGTTTGCCTCAAGATTTTCCTATTGTAGTTCTAGTGAAATAATGATCTGTGGTAAATATAACTTTGTCTAAAATGTAAATTAGACACACCCAGCTAACTTATAAAACATACATGTTTAATTTGTAACTAGATACATACATATAGGGTGTGAGTTTGTGTAGTTTATGTTGTGGGGAAAATTTTTAATTATTATACAGTTTTGTTTACCACAGACCTTAGTTTACTCCATTAAAAATATTTTGAGGCAACCAGCAGTGGATAAATAACATTTTGGGGGGGGGGTTCTGATGTCACTCCTGGACCACCCTACACTTATTGTTGATTGATTTATTGCAGGAATCACCAAACTTGTTCCTGGAGGTCCGGTGTCCTGCAGATTTTAGCCCCAACCCTAATCAAACATACCTGAACAAGTTAATCAAGGTCTTACTAGGTATACTTGAAACACCCAGGCAGGTTTGTTGAGGCAAGTTGGAGTTAAACCCTTCAGGGCACTGGACCTTCAGGAACGAGATTGGTGACCCCTGGTTTATTGGGTTAGATTGCTTTCTCATCCTAACTGAACTGCTCGAGTTCACTTTGGTGCAGATCTGACCTTGATTACTATGTTCATATATAGGATATACCAAGCTGATGCCAAAGAACTAACAAAAACCAACTGTGTTTTTGTCTGACGTTTGCTGTGTATTGTTCCATCTGGACCAAAAAGCTAACCTTGAACATCGCAAACAAATGACAGATGACAAACGTGAATATATGTTCTGCGCCTGTGTGAGAGATCATTTCTTTCCATACAGTAGTCTGTAGTCTGTTTTCTCATTCCATAAAGGAAAAACCGAAATGGTGACAAACACATAGAAATCGTTAACAAAGTAACATTTAATGCCATTTGCACTGTACTTGTCACTCACTACAAAGGGATTCACTCAAGCAAATATGTCAGATTATCTACTAAAAAAACTTCCTCAGAAAACTTCCAGAAAATCAGTTTAAACAGGAGGAGCTGGGGAGGTAGAGGGTTTTAACAGTTTTAAGAGGGTTTTTAGGGCTCACTGGCTTCAAATGGTGCAGAAGCAGTGCATTTAACTGTATGATTGCTAGATTTTATGCAAAGGATATGTAAAGTTTTGGAACTGAAGTAGATTTTTATATAAATGCAGTCTTTGTGATTGATAGGATGGCCCTGAACTGTTACATTTAACTGACATTTTGCACTTTCATCTGTCTTCAGGTTTTGATAGTAATTATTGTAATGGAGTTTCATCAAGTAAAGGCCACACCTCGGCTCACAGTCACAAGTCATGTCCTCCTACCCTTCCAAGTCCTGAGCTTGGTGTCCTGAATGGTAGTAGGGGTCAGCAGACGATTGTGAGGTATGTATGGCTTTATTTAATATCTTTGGGATTAAATGAGCATTCTGTCAATTCTGTAAATGCATGATAGAGATCTGTTTACAAATTAATACTTTGTGCACGTTTCATTTAGTTTTTTGTTTACATTTTATCAAAATGTCAAAATTTGTGCATCTGCTAGAATGATATATGATTTATGCTGAATCATTCCAGTTTTGTGTGATTATAGGCAAAATTAAATAAGAACATCCAAAATAAAACAACCGTATTGAGTCAATTTCGCCTCTTTCTCGCAGTAGCGAAGTGGAGATGGAGGTGGATCACTTCTCAAACGGAGTGTCTGAATCCTCTTCAAATGGGTTTCTGAATGGCAGCTCTACACACGGGACAGAGCCAGAGGACTGTGATGCAGATATGGGTGAGTAATTCATTTGGCTCAGATTCCTGTGTATATACAATGAAATTTGTTGTCGGACGTCAAAGGTTTTTTTGTGATCAGCGTTACAAATTGAATGTTGTGCATGTGGTTCTCAGTTCATTGGACAACCATGTTATGCAAATGAATCTGTCGCCCCATTTTAAATGGATAAAATGCTCTTTACACAGAAGTGGATAGCACTCAGTCTAAGAGACAGTTGTGCGGGGGGAGCCAGGCAGCCATTGAGAGGATGATCCAGTTTGGCCGGGAGCTACAAAGCATGAGTGAGCACTTGCGCCGTGAGCGGGGCAAAAATTCAGCGAATAAGAAGATGCTCAAGGTACTTACACTTGTTCTAAAAGACAAATGTATGTGGTGTTTGGTGTCTATCATCATCTTTATGATTTAAGTGGTATTAAAAACCCAATATGAAATGTCTTTTGGTTAGGGTTACTGGCATCTAATCAGCCAATCGCAAGGCAGTAACTGTGCATGTAGATTCAGAGTCAACTTTAAAGCAGATGAGCTACAACATCAACACACCAGGGCACAACAGTACCGTCCATGTAAGAACAGGAAAGTGAGGACACAGGCTCACCTAAATTCAACAGTAAATGCCAGGAAAATAACTGCCTGGTCTGAAATGTCTCGATATCTGCTGCAGGGTTAAGACTGAGGGTCACAATTTAGTCTAAAGCATAAAAACATGCATCCACTCTCACAGGTGTCATTGGCTGCTAGCGGGTATAGAGGTTTTGGGAATTTTCGTAGACTTGTGTTTACCATAGTATCAACTGATCAGCACATCACATAGCTCAAATCTTCTCAAACTGTTTCCTTCAATATGGCAAAGAGTTCACGTTATTGTAATGGCATCCACAAAAAAGATTGCTAGAAAAAGAGATTTGGATCATGGAACGAGCTGAGTAGCTGACAGATCTGCAGCAAATGCTGTCATGTATGTGGATGAAAATGTCTGTGCAATGTTTCCAGTACCATGTTGAACCTGTGAAAAGAAGGTGCCGTTGAATGAAAGCTATAGCTAAATATTCCATTAAGTTCAATGTTATGAAATAATGTGAGCTAGAGGTCTGCATTCCTGCGGGAGCCGCGGGACCCGACCAGATTTCTTTCTGTGCGGGAATAAATTTCTGAATAAAGCAAGGGAGCGGTCAGTAACTGGTATAATTAACAATATCGCTCCCGTGCGAGCAAGCACCTGTATGTATGTGTGTGAATGAGACAGCGTGATGCTGCGTTTAGCTTGTTTGTTACTGTCTGTGTGTATGTGTGTGTGTGCGCGCGTGCGCGAATGAGAGAGAGCTTTGTGCTGTGTGTGTGCGTGCGTGTGTGAGAGAGAACGTGATGTTGCTTTCTGTGTGTGTCACTTGCTTGGTGCTGTGTGTGTGTTTATACAGACAGCGTGTTATAGGCTGTTTGGACTCTGTATAGCTGGGTGGTTTTTGGTTTTGTTCTTCCCCCCGCCCATTAGCGGGAACGGACGCGGCTGGTAAAAAACGGAGCGGGTCGGGCAGCGGGACAACAAATTGTTTGGGATTGATCGGGTTCGGACTAAAACCTGCCTAGTGCGGGGGAGAGCGGGATTCAAAATTTTGTCCAGCGCAGATCTCTAATGTGAGCCTCCAAAAATGTTGATTCCTTTGTGTAAAATCCTCAGAACAAAACACGGGCTCTGACAATCCACACAGAATCCTTAATATACATGCCATGTGTAGCATTTAATTAAACGACATTCCCTAATGAAAACTTCCCTAATGTAACATCCCCTAATGAAATTGCAACAAAATTAGATTTTTTCCCCTTTATATTTAAGTTTATGTAAGCTTGTATTAAACTTACGATGTGTATAGAGCTCGTATTTTGAAAAGGAGACTGGCATTATAGAGCTAATGCAACTAGCCATGGAGCATCTTCTCAAAGCTTGTCAGCAAATTTTGGGAAAAAATGGAGGGGTTATACATTTATAATTTTAAACGTTATAGTTGAATCTTTACTGCTCTTTTGATTAGTTTAATGTGCATATTGTGAATTTGCTGCATATGTTTGGAATGAGACAACAAACGTATGTAGACTGCTAAATATAATTATTTAATGCACGTTCATGCATCATCTCATAACACTCGGCTCTAACTGTGATTTTTTTGGAGTGAAAGGATGCCAGTGAACTTTATAAAAGTCATCTGTTTATGCGGAGGTTGATATTAATTCCTCCCTCCCTCAGTTATGACTCTAAATACTTTCGGCTCATTTTATCTACTATAGTTATAATTAAGACTATATTTCATCTACAACACAAACCAAAGGTTAACTTTCCTTTCATTCGCTCACTGCTTTTGGCTTAAATAATCCTGACATGTTTACTGTTCCAAACTATTATAAATATTTCCTAAAATAAAATATATTGTGTTCAGTGGGGAAAATGTTTTTATTGTTTTACCCAGACATTTAAAAAGAGCATATTTTAGAACAGTAAACGCAAAACCTTGAAACTGTGGTACGTTTATCCAAGCTTATCATACCCCCTGCCCATGCCTAGTTCCAACCTAGTACTAGCAAGATTTACCTAACAAAGCAATCTGTGAGTGTTTGTGTATGTTTTCTTTCCTAAAGCTTCTTGTTCTGTCTTTTTCTTGCAGGATGCATTCAGTTTGCTGGCATATTCAGATCCATGGAACAGTCCCGTGGGCTACCAGCTAGACTCCATTCAGAGAGAGCCTGTCTGTTCCACACTCAACAGTGCAATATTAGGTACAGCATCCGTATTCCTAACTTTCTGAATGGATTGCATTAGAACAACCAAAAACCGCCTAATCATTACAATGGTCTCTCTATCAGCATTAGGGAAATCTCATTAAGCTCAAACCTATGCAAGTGAAGAAAGTCTATGAACAAAATAATGTTGTTTTGACTAGAATGCTTTAATTGCAAGATATATTGTTTATTAGCCATTTTGTATTTATTATTTTTTAAAGATTTATTTATCTGATTTTTGTGACAGTTACAAATAGAAAAAATATATATAATAAATATCTAAAAAATATAGCTTAAAGGGGCTAATAATTTTCACCTTAAATTGGTTTTTAAAAAAGTAAAAACTGCTTTCATTCTAGCTGAAATAAAATAAATAAGAGTTTCTCCAAAAGAAAAAATAATTTCAGACATACTGTGAAATTTTTTTTGCTCTGTTAAACATCTTTTGAGAAATATTTAAAAAAGAAAAAACATCTCAAAGTGGGCGCTAATAATTCTGACTTCAGTTGTGTTTATATATATATATATATATATATATATATATATATATATATATATATATATATATATATATATAAACCTACTCTATAACACTATAACCCTCATATTGTGCAGCACAGTATATGATGTGCAGTCATTTTACAAATTAAGCATATGAACAGGTCAGTACCGAAAGTTGAGGATGGTAGCCTGGTGTATTAAGTGAAAAATAATGATAATGAAAGAAAAGAAAAAATTTTAACTGAGAGAAAAGGGAAAATATATCAAACTGAATAGGCTGGGTGGGTAGCACTTTTAATTATAATAGTAATAATAATTAATAATAATTCCTTACATTTTATATATCGCTTTTCTGGGTACTGAAAGCGCTTTAAGCATCGGGGGGAATCTCCTTATCCACCACCAGTATGCAGCATCCACCTGGATGACTCGACGGCAGCAATTTTGCGCCAGACCGCACACCACACACACCAGCTGATTGGTTATTGGACTTTTTAGCCCTTTGTGTAAATGTTGAAATCCAGTTTAAACGAATCACTAAACAAGATTATTTGGATTTGTCCCTCTCCATTTTGTTTTCTCTCTTGGTCAAGCTCCATACAATATTGATACTATGCTCAAAACTGCATCTGAGCCCCCAAAAAAACTTCCTTTCCTGAAATCAAAGCATGTTCTTGGGGGTTTGGGGGGGATAATATTTCCAATTTGTGTTTATCATATATGTTTTTGTTTTGCCATTTTTCCACAATATGATATGAATTTAAATATTAGTTTATTTAAATGCAGTATAACCATCAAAGGTAAGAGCTCACTAAGTCTTTTCTGCTCTCCAATCCAGCATTTATTTTGTGTGTATATGTGCGTATTTTATATATTTTATGTGTTAATATTTATGTGGAAACCATGATTTGCCTATTTCAGTTTTCATTGATGAATATAAAGCTCAAAAGAAAACATTTATTTGGACTAAAAAAACTTTATATATACTATAAAACTATTTATATTTTAATCCGCACTCTTGACTGGTACCTTGGTTGGTTTAGTCCAGTCATGGATATCACTATAATTGTATAGTAAAAAGATAGTGTCATTCTAACTGCAGTCTGATTTTACCAGTCGGGTTTTATCGTTCACTGAATCCTTTTTGTCTCTCAAGATGAGTTTTGTTGGTTTGTTTTTTTTGTAATGCTCGATATTAGCTTGTACAAAATAAAAAAAAAACTCAATTACAATATTATTCTAATCTATAAATAAATGTTTAACCACCCTTCATTTAAAGTCACTTTTGATTCACCGTAATGGGTCATTGTCAACTGTTGGAAAAATGAGAACCCATTCCAGGAGACTCATTACAAGCTGAATTCTGAGACGTGTTGGTTGTTTTGCAGTCAGACAGCATCTTCAAAATGTAAATGAGTCTGAACAAGTCTGAAACTACTCTAAATGAGTCTGATTTGAGACAGGGTTGTCTTGTCTGTTATGTTTTTAAGAGGGGGCAGTTCCTAAGGTAGAGATGACTAACAAAGCATGCAAATGAAGTAGATAGGTGAAAGAACCTGCTCAGCCACTGACCACACAAGTTTGTCAACAAAAGTTTGTTTCTTTGGCCTGGATGGATCCATAAAGGCAAAGTCACAGTCACTGAGACCATGTCTATAGAATTTGCATCACTTTGGCTCCGTCAGTGCTTAGGATGTTTAATGTCCCTCACACCTAGGTTGCTAGAGATTGGAATGAAATTATATAATTAAACACCAAAAACTTTTCAGTTTTCAGTTTATGTATGTATGTATGTATGTATGTATGCGGGTGGGTGTGTGTGTGTGTGTGTGTATATATATATATGTATATATATATATGTATATATATATGTATATATATATATGTGTATATATATATATATATATATATATATATATATATATATATATATATATATATATATATATATCTTACTGTTAATTTGAAACTAAATTATATTAATTTAAACTTCCACACAACCAAAAGTATTCTTTCTGAAGAAACCTTATTGATCTGAAACATTTGAACAGTGCTCCATCTCATTATTCAGACTAATCTGGAATCTTTTTTCACTCCTGCAGAGACTCATAACCTGCCAAAGCAGCCTCCCTTGGCTCTGGCCATGGGTCAGGCAGCTCAGTGCCTGTCCCTCATGGCTCGCACCGGCAGCGGATCCTGCGCCTTCGCATCAGTGGATGATTACCTGCACTAACCCCTGGAGAATCATCACTTTAAACGACCACGTGACAGAGGCCCACATTATCCCGCTCCATCCCAGACTCCCAAAAAAAAAAAAAAAAAAAAGAGAGAAAAAAAACAAACAAACAACAACAACAAAAAAAACCTGGACCAGATGTACTGGCCTTTATATGGCCAGACCAATCCTGGCTCTTACTGACAAGACTGGATCCTCTTCTCCCAGGCCTAAAGAGACATTATAGAAGAGGGGTCCTTTAAAAGTCAGATAAAATCCCCAATCATTATGGTCTTCTTTTTTATTATTATTATTATAATTTTTTTTTTTTTTTTTGGCTTTTGTCTTTTTTATTTTGGGGGAGGGGAGGAGGTGTTGGGTGGGGGGTGCAGCAGGCTCTGATTGTTTGTTTCCTAATTTACAAGGCATGAGGAAAATTATTATGACATAATTAATGTTATTATTGGTAAAATTGCATATAAGATATATTTGTTCTCGGTTGAAAGCTGGCAGAGTGAGCGAGACCTGAAGGTCAAACCGCAGCTACACCCTGCTATTTTCAGGTCTCAGCTTGTGTACTTTACCATAAAAAAAGAAAAAAAAAAGAAAAATATTGAAGTTATATTAACACGAGGAGTGTGGAACATTTAGTTATCTTACAGTAAAAAAAAAATAAAACCCAGAAAACCTAACACTGCTGGAGTCATCCTTAGTGGTGTTATTTAGTCTAGAGCGTTAGTGTGAGCTGTATGAGTTTTGCCCTTTTTTGTGCAAGCGCACCCTCCCTCTGCCAACTGCACAGCAGGATTGATGCAATGTTCGGACACTTTGATTTGTAATTGTATTGATGTCTATGGTCTATTCATCCACCCCATCTCTTACTCCCATCTTTTAAAAAGTCCGTATTCAGGCATTCTCTAGTCATCGTTTGCCTGCACTGTGTTTTTTTTCTGTGCAGTTTGAATGTGCAACAGGAACATGGTGAAAATTAAGGTCATATCCAGTCCCGGAGAGGCAAGCCTGCTCCATTGTTTTTTCTCCTCTTGTTTACCAGTCAGTCCCTCAGACCATCAGTACTTTTAAACAAGGAGAATGGTACAGTATTGTCATCAACACTGTCTTATCATTTTCAGTAATAAAACATAAATACCCAGTTGAACGAGATTTGCCAGTCTGTGTTTGGACACATTCTTAGCGAGCGTTCAGATGTTGTATAAGTAGTATGCCATTTATTGAATGACAAGCATTTTAATAGTGATGGGTGTTTCTGGAACAATGCTGTGTGAAACATTTTTTAACCTGTAGTTTAGAGTGAGGCGCCACCACAGTTAGAATTTAAGAGTTCACACTTAGCTGATGATTGGTAATAAGCTTGTTTGGCATGCTGTCCTGGGAGAGAGGCCTGGGCTCCCTCCCGTTTGCAGGACGAGGGGGGAGTTTGAGCTTAGGTAGATCTTGATGAACTCCTCGGCTTATTTCTGGTTAATGACAGACATAAGGATGGCTAAGGAGATGTATACAGCTTGCTAAAAGCTTGATTATGATGCCAATTTGATATGTTCAATTTACTTATGTTGCACTATTTTTGGACTGTGGGAGGAGACCTGGGAAAAAACCCACGCGAACAATGAGGGAACAAGCAAATTCCACACAGAAATGTCGACTGGTTTAGTAGGGACCTTAACCAGAGACATTCTTGCTGTGAGGCAACAGTGCTAATCACTGGGTTGCCGTGTCACCTATGTAGAAAGGTGGGGGAGTAGGGGTGGGTGGGGGGTATTCTTCTAGACGAAGATACTGAGATAAGAAACTGGTTATTTATAGCGAGTAGGAATCATCTGATTGGTGAATCAATCGTGAGAATGTGGGACCAGTCATGGAAAATCATAATCAAGTGATCCTCTCGAAATCAGTTTATAAAAAACTTCACTTGTTTCATAATGTTTCAACATTTTCTTGGATTGCCACTTGCTTTTGTGTGAAAACAATGTAGGCTGCTTTCAGATGGTCACTGTGGTCCATTCAGAAGGTTTCATCCCTATGCTCTAATCAAAACCTCTAATATCTAAACAAACGTATCCATTTGCAGCTTTGTGGGACTTGCCGTTTGTCAAACATGTTAAAACTCTTGTCCTCACCCTGCCTGCCCTCATGGCTCTCAGCCTCACCTACAGTCATCACCAATACCAAGCTAACCACTCGCAGATTGTGACAACAATTCAATAACTTTAATTTAAAAGGTGTAAATCAGGGTACAGCGAATCATTTCTTTACCATTAGTTCCAGTGGTGTATGCTCGTGTTCATTTTCTTGTTTGCTTTTAGTTAGTTATTTGATACTATAAAAACAGGTTTAGTCTCATAATTGTGTTGTGATTGGATCTGCAGGAGTTTGGATGGAATTTTCATCCTGTAACCCCCTGCTCATAATCACTATAGCACAGACTCAAAATCCAAAATGATGACAGCAGCCAAACTGGGACTATTTTGTTTTACCTTTTACAATGAAAGGAAGTGGAAATGTGTCCATATTGTTTTTAGTCTTTGGTGTGGAACATGTAGGATGTAAGTTAACTTAAAGCATAAACAGGGGTTGGATGATGATACTGAAACCGGTGGTACCAAAGCAGTTTACCAGGAGCTCCACAAGGTCAAAAATTATGATTAACATCTCCTATGGCATGCACAGTCACCAGATGTAAATATTATTAAGCCACTTTGGGGTTTAGGAGGAGCAAGTCAGGAAATGGTCCCCTTCACTATTCTGCATGAAGAATGGCTCAAAAACATTTTGTCATTCCCGAGAAGAATTGATGCTGCATTGGCCACAAAAGAAGTCCTACAACAGGGGAGTCCAAACTCAGTCCTGAAGGGCTAGTGTCCTGCATAGTTTAGCTTCAACTTCCTTCAACACACCTCCCTGAAAGATTCTAGTATACCTAGAGAGAGAGAGCTTGATTAGCTGACTCGGGTGTTTAATTAGGGTTGGAAGTAAAATATTCAGGACACCAGCCCTCCAGGACCGAGTTTGGACACCCCTGCCCTACATCATACCAATGAATTATTGTGGTCTTAAACCAGGCATTTAGCTTCATTGTCTAACCCCTGTACATAGACGAACACAAAGCCTTCCATTCTGTTTTAGAGTGTGGGTGATCACTAGATGTTTGACATCTATATGTGTGTGTGTGTGTGTGTGTGTGTGTGTGTGTGTGAGCACTCCGTATCTGCAATTTAAAAATGTGCCAATGCACAAAGTACACATTAGGTTCTGTACATCAGGGCCAACAGTAAAATTTAATTTGTAGCCACTGGTTGATTTAAATTTTCAAAAAATATACATAAATAATAATAATAATGATAAAATAAACACCACCCATGATTAATTTAGTCAAAGGGTTTTAATGGAGTCAAACAATGTACAAAAGCAACCGACCAGAATGTTCGTTTCCAAGATCAGGTTTACATGTATTAAAATGTTAAGTAAATATGCAAAAGCAAATTTACATCCTGCCACTTCTTTATAAAGTTTGAATCTGTAGACAAGATAGGTTATTTCTTGTTAAATGAGCAAACACAATCTTACTTTAGGTATATTTAAATATGCTTGACTAAGAGGTTCCAAGAGGTCAGAAATCCTTAGAGGGGTCCTTTAGAAAAGCATGATCCACGTGGTCAGAAACAGCTGGGTGATGAAAGCCAACTGTCCTCACCTCTTGAACTCCTAATTCAGCACTTCTTTCTCCTGCTTCAGATCTCAAGTAGGAATCAGTTTCACTTTATGCATAAACCTTTTGTTGGTCTTTGCAACATTTGCTTTCATGTCAACAGCTGTAGATGAAGGACAATCACATGCATTTCAAAACATATGTTGAGGACATTATAATATTCTTGAACACAATCTCAATACTCACCCCATTTTTTATTTGCAAACTGCACAGCTGCACCTTTGTTTACACCCCTCTTCTTATTAAGGGATAGAAGCTCTGTGTCTGTAATTAAAGTACACATTGATATCCAGTTGGTTAACTTCATTTGCATAAATTCGGGCTCTAAAGAGAACAGCGAGAGCTTACTGGTGGTTCTGTTGGTTCTTGGTCCATAAAAGCGAGACTGAATAAAGTCCACAGCGCTTTGTTGAAGTGAATTGGAAGCAGATTCATCCTTCAGCCTCATTACGGTGTAGTTTTCTGGTAAACTAAAATCGGATTGTTTCTTATATACATGTGGAAGCCTGAGAGAAATGAAAGTGTGTGCATTTATTATACTTACCTCTTAGAGATCGCCTCTGAAGTGTTTGTCTCTTCCTCATCTACAAAATAGTTGTATGTCAGTTAATATTCCAAATGACCGACAGTTAAAATTGTGTTAAAGCACAGGTGTCAAAATCAGTTCCTGAAGGGCCGAAGCTCTGCACAGTTTTGGCCCTGTTTACACCAATACATTTTCGTTTTAAAACGCATAAGTTTTGATACGGTTACGCCATCCGTCCACACTAGAGTTTGAGCGCCAAAAATGGAGCGTTTTAGAAATGCTGAAGAGGCCGTTTTCATTCTAAACGCTTCTGCTACGTCTTAGTGTGGATGAGGAAAAACAGAGACATGGGGCTTTTCCTCAATATTAAATAGCCTACACACAGTTCAGTCCTGCATCCTCTCCTTGTAAGTTCAGACTTCGCAACTTTAATATGGAAAACAAACTCCCAAGGACTTTTTTCATTTTGTTATTAACAACTTAACAGACAGCAAAAATGTTGAGGCGTCGTGCTTCAGATACGAGCATCATTTTTACTGTATGCATATTTATAACAAAACGGAGCCTATAACATTACTGCCTCCTTTCATTTTCATTAAAATTCAAAACACCCTCTCTTTTGCTGAATGTCAGTTTTAATAATCAATAATAGCCTTAATAAAAGTACAACGTACAATAAGTTTATACATTATAGGAAATAAAGGCAAACAATAAGTCAACATACAGAATGTAAGCGGTTACATTAATTATTAACTTATCTTTGTGCTAAGCACAAAGAACAAGTAATAGATTCAAAAGACCAAAGTCAGGGATAACGTCGTTAGATATAGACAACAAGATAAATTAAATATCCCGTTTAACAAATATAGCGAGATTGGATCTAGCGGTACATCCTTGAACAGTCCGACGAGCACAGCTCTCATCTGGCTATATATGATGCAGCGCATGCCAGAGTGTGTGTGTGTGTGTGTGTGTGTGTGTGTGTAGTCATGCGATTTGCGTTTTCAGTGTTTTGGTGTAGACAGAGTTGTTTAGAAACGTTGGGTGAAAAGCTAGTCTCTGTTTAAAACTCTGTTTTAAAACTAAAACGTACTAGTGCGTATTCTCAGTATTTTCAACAATATAACAATAGTAAGTTATTCACACATTTTCAATGACGCATATATTTTTAGCTCATATTTTTGACCATTTTCATTTTGAGGAACAAAGAGTTCCACACTCACTTCAGCATTTCTGACATGGCCACTGGTGTAGAGTTTCAGAAATGTAAATGTTATGGTTTTCGATTGTTACCTTTGTTGTTGTTCGTAACTTCAGTCTGCCTAAAGTGAAAGAATACATTTATTAAGACTTGCAAATGATTTTGAGAATTATAGTCATTTTAATAAATGGGAAATTCTCACAAAAATGAAAATTCATTTACTCAACTTTCACTTAAAGGTTCCAAACCTATTTGAGTTTCTATCTTCTGTTGTACAAAAAAACAATAGATTAAAGAACGCTGGTGGATGGTAATTTTTGTCAATGGATGCCAGCAACCAGCATTCTTCAACCTATATCCTTTTGTGTTCAATAGAAGAAACTCCTGAGGTAATTTTAATTTTTGACTGAACTATCCCTTTTAATGGCGAGAACTTACTTTTGAGGTTCTGTATCAAATTCCTCTAGAAGGTCTTCAGGAAGTAGCTTTCTCTTCTAAAACAACAGATATAACACATAAAGAAGTGTGGAATGACACAAATATGCTACATAAACTATTTGATGCGGATAAATACATTATTTGCTCTAAGTAACAACATGCTAACTGTTAGACATCTTTAAGACCGAATGAATCGACCAACCTTTTGCTCTTGAAACAGCTGCTGCCTTTTTCTTCGCTTCTCCTTCAACAAGTTCTTTTCTCTGAGCACAAAGTGAAAGAAACAATATTATTGTGCCATCATCAGCTCATGTGTGTATTGATGATTTAAACTCTCACACACACAGACAGACCTTTTGGCCGACTCGAGCGCATCTTTGACGCTCTTCAGCGCCGCTTGTTTGGACGCGTCGAAGGCGACCTCCTCCGGCAGTTCATCATCGCTGGACTCAAACTGAGTCTGTGTTAAATCTGACATCTCAACCTTTTTGAACGTACTCAAACTGATTTTAGCACACACGTTGTACGGGGCTCGCCATATTAAATACCAACAACGTTGAACACTTATTGAAGACAAACATACTAAAGCCATAGGTGGTGGCAGAAAAAAAGATGCTGCCATCTGGTGGTTTGGGTGTCTCGGCGATTTCTGCTTCTGTAAACAAACTGATGCAAATGGCGGCGTTTATTATAATACGACAAACGTCAGCATACAACTCTGATTTGTATATAAATGTTTTTTTCGATGCACATTAATAAAAAAGAATTTATTAACAGAATTTCACATGCGCTCGGGATTGGTTAGGATTAAACACTAACAATATTTTAAATAATTAACGTTAGAAGTTTTATCGTTATTGTTAATATTATTATTAGTCTGGCAAACTGATATAATTTATCACATTAATTATTAAATTGTTCAGAAATATTATGGTGAAATATCAATGTTCTTTGCAATAACATGTAAACAATAATAATATGTTATTATTATTATTTTTATTATTAATTATAATTAAGTATTAATAATTAGGTTATTAAAACAGTAAAATTTGTAATTATTTTACTAACTACAGATACTACTAGGTTTTATTATTTACATAAGCATTCAGCATGATGGCGAAATATAATATTGTATTTGTTGTAAAGTAAATAATAACACAGGTTGTTATTACTAATTCATGTTATAATTATATTTTTAACGCCGTTTAGTAATACAAGAAACTATACTGTTTTGTTTTTTCGACTTATAATAAAATAATCTGTCATATGGGTCTGATATCTGACCAATCGCTGTTTCTCACGTGTTCGTGACATGGATGCTGCTGCCAGTCATTTGTCATTGGATGAAGCATCCCGCAAACATCTCTCTGCTCCACTCACAGGCCTCTGAATCGTTGCGTGATTTGGTTCATTTTCTCGTCATTATTGCGGTGAACTAGCAGAGATGTTGGTGTTTGTTGTTTTATGGCAGGTGTTGTGTTTATCCGTGTGTTCGGGCTTTCGGGCGGCTCCTCAGCCCTGCCCCGCGCCGCTGCAGTGGGAGGGTCGGACGGTTGAATATGATCACGGCACCGGGAGAAACACACGGGCAGCGGTCTCCTATGACGCCCAGAACCAGAGAATCAGGGTCCTGGAGCAGAAGACTGGACACACACCATGCAAGAAGTACGCATTCATAGTGTTATGAAATACACTTTAATACGCTTACCGTCAGTATTTTTTGTCTTGTGTTTTTAATGTTTTAAACATTCCCAAACCTGAAAAACAAAGTTATTATGTAAAAAAGAGACAATATAGCATCAAGTCATTGATAAGTAATTTTTTTGTGTAAAATAATAACCTTTTATTTTTTTTAAATACTTAATATACTCTAAAACTATATATAATAACAGATTTGTTATTATATTTTATTACATAATTATGATATAATATATTTTTATATAAATATTATTTTATTAGCTATTATAAAATATGTTTTATAATAGAATAGGCTTTCTGTTATTATTATTATTATCATCATCATCTTCAGGTTTTTGGTCAAAAACTCTCAAATTGTATGGTTCTTCATAAAAATCGAGTAATAACAATAAATTAAATCAACATAAATTTACTTGAGAACCAAATTGACAACATAAGAAGTCTTGTTTTCTGATAATGATCTGCTATCAGGAAATTAAAAAGGAAAAAAGTTTACCTTTACCATATTGTCGGACTTTGTATAATATGTAATTTTGTTATGCATGTCAATTATCTTGATTAAAGCATGTTAAGTCACTTGTATCAGAAAACATTCATTCATTCATTTTCTTGTCGGCTTAGTCCCTTTATTAATCCAGGGTCGCCACAGCGGAATGAACCACCAACTTATCCAGCAAGTTTTTACGCAGAGGATGCCTTTCCAGCTGCAACCCATCCCTGGGAAAATATCAGAAAACAATACCCAGTAAAGAAAAAATGAAAGCTTTGAATTTTGATAGGTAAAATATAATAGGGGCAGCACGGTGGCACAGTATGTAGCACAATCGCCTCACAGCAAGAAGGTCGCTGGTGCGAGCCCTGGCTAGGTCAGTTGGCATTTCTGTGTGAAGTTTGCCTGTTCTTTCCGTGTTTACTTAGGTTTTCTTCCGTGTGCTCCAGTTTCCTCCACAGTCTAAAAACATGCACTATAGGTGAATTGAATAAGCTAAATTGGCCATAGTGTATGAGTGTGTGCAAGAGTGTATAGGTGTTTCCCAGTTATGGGTTGCGGCTGGAAGGGCATCTGCTGTGTATAAAATGTGCTGGATACACTGGTGGTTCATTCCACTGTAACAACACCAGGTTAATAAAGGGACTAAGCCAAAAAGAGAATGAATGAAAAATATAGTAACTGTCTGAAATGTCCACCATTGATTTGATCCAAATTGTAGATTAAAAAGCGAAAGTGGAATGAATAACCTCATATGATTATTGTATTGTGAGTAATACAGAAACAGCATTATTATAACTACATTAATAAAAATGTATAAATTGCTTGCATTACAGTATGTGTACTATGCTTTGTCTTTGAGGTTCTTTGAGTACATCTACTTGTTCAAAAGTGGAGTGCTATTTCAGATTGAGGAAATTACAAAGCAGTGTGCAAAAATTGCTCTGACGGAGGCCTGGGATCCTTATGATATACCCCTCAACTCCACATACGAGGACCAGTACTTTATTGGAGGACCTGGAGACATGATCGAGGTCCAAGAGTGGTCTGATCGCAAACCAGCTCGCAAAAGTATGTTTGTTGAGTGTGCAGTTTGCATATGACCATGCCTTATTATATCTGACTGATAGAAATGTACACCTTTTTCTCTGACAGACGAAGCTTGGGTTGGTGTGTACACTTTGAAAGACTGCTATCCTGTGCAGGAGACTTACACCAAAAACAGCAGTGTTACCACGTCCACTCGCTTCTTCGACCTTCAGCTGGGCATCAGTGACCCTGAGGTGTTCAATCCACCCAGCACCTGCCTGTCTGCTCTGTCTAAGAGGATGACATCTGACTGCTGAAAATCAATGTCTGCTCACTCAGCATTAAATAACATACGGCTCTGCATTAGATCATCCATAATAAATAGATGGCTTTCAATTAACTAATATTACACTGACAAAGAGCGCATGGAATGAGCGCAGATACTGTTAATTAAAGGCTTTGAAATAAACCAGGATTGTTAGTTTTAAGTTGAACAGTTCATGTTGATTTATAGTGTGAACTGTGCCTCATATCTTATTGAACCCTGATTTTTTCATGCACAGGGTGGACAAATGTAGTACTTTTTTAACAGTTAATGTTCAGTTTTAGTTATTTAATTTAGAATTTAAAGTGATATTTCACACCAAAATGACAATGTACTCACTATTTACTTAATCTTGGTTTCAAACCTTTATGGGTTTCTTTCCACTGTTAAGGAAATATATATACTACGAAAGTTGCTGATTACAGTGTTCGAACACTTTTCAAAAAAATTTCTTTTGTGTCTAACGGTAGGAGAAGAAGCTCTTAAAGGTTTAAAACAAGTAAAAAGTGAGTAGATGATGACAGAAATTCATATTTTTGAGTGAACTTGCCCTTCAATTGGGTTTATTAAAGTGTTGATGCTTATACTCTTTATTTTACAATGTTGTTTTATAGCTGCAGAAAGCCTAATAATTTGATTCTTGTTTGAATAAAATTGTTTACCTTGCTACCACATTGTTTGAGAAAATCAATTGAACAGTGTGGATACCCTTTATCAGACAGTTAATCAAGGATGTTTTAGATGAAGAGTTCATTGTTGAGCATGTCAGTTATTTGTTGATAAATGAAAGCACTAGTCTGTGGCCTTAACAAGATTAGTTTTAAGCCAAGCTATTGTCTTCATATCTTGATTAACTTTAAAGTATACAATGACTAAAATATCCAATAGTATCTGAATGCAGACTTTTATATGCAAGCTGAGATATGCAGTTTCAGACATGCAATCTCAGGCACAATGCCCTCAATGTAGCCAGCCAGTAATAACACAGTCAGGGGGTTAGGGGCAGGGTTAGCTGTGTGCAAAATGTCTGTGTGTCTACATTAAAAAGTTATAAAAGTTCAACCAGAAATAAAAATTTGCTTAACCTATATGAATTTATTTCTTTTGTTTACTACACTTACAAAAAAAAAAAAAAAAAAAAAAAAAAAAAAATATATATATATATATATATATATATATATATATATATATATATATATATATATATATATATATTGACAAGCATTGGTAAACAGAACAATAGACATTTCCCATAGCATAGCAGAAAAAACATTGAATTCTGTCATCTGTGTGGCAAGTACCAACATTATCCAAATTTCCTATAGATATTATTGATATATACATATGTGGCGCTAGTCCACAAAACCTGAAATTAAAAAGCTGAATAATTAAGCTATGCTAAATGGTTTGTTAAGGATATTACTGGCTGAGATACAACTAATATCTGGAATCTGAGGGTTCAAAAATGAAAATTGCCTTTCAAATTGTCAACATTAAAAGTTATATATATATTACAAGGAAATTTGTCCAATATGTTCATTTGAACAATCTTTTTACAATCACAGTTGATCACTAATTTTGACTCAAACAGTGTATCTTTGGCTATTCCCACAACCCCATGCAATACTGGTTTTGTGGTCCAAGATTACATATGTGTGTTTATCATATATTTAGAATGAAAACAAAAGGTTTGAACACTGGTAATTCTACTAAGACACATGTAAACTTGAGAACTGACCTCACACTTTGACTAAAATAATCTGATCTCTGCGAGTTAAAATATGACTCAAAAAAAGATTGCTCTGATAGAGGCTGTAGCATCATTTGTTTGCAAATGTCAATTGATTTTATTGTCTTTGTAAATTAATAAAGAGCTTTAGACTAAATAAAGCTACAAATCACTACAAAAATGCCATATAGGCTTCTAACCTAAGTTTAACAGGGGTATTTGTAATAAAAAGGTGGTTATTTAGTAGCCTAGGCTAAAAAATCTGTTTATATTTTATTTTATTATAAAAAAAACATTGTTCATTTTCACAAAGGAAAACTTTGTATATTATCATAAATCATATTGTTTGTTTACTAGATTTGTAGTACTGGAACATAGGGTAGGTACTGTAGACCTGTCGCAGTTCCGTGTTTCACTACATATCCCACAATTCCCTCTTCCAAAACATCACCAGTTCCTGTCAGACTGAAGCGAAACTGGTCAGATGGTGCGGAATTTGTAACGATACAGATGTTTGCTGATTTTGTCGGTTGGCTGTAACAAAACGCACACTTTTATAAGATTACACATCAAGGTAAGCGACACGACAAGATGATCTGACAATTGTTTGATAAATCAGTGCTAACGAGACGGGGAATTATGCTGTATGACCCGATGTAACCGGATAAATTGTTTTCAAGAGAGATTGTGAGTTTACCTTTTTCATTTAGCCTTTCATTGTTGTAGTTAGCACGTTGTAAATGTGTGATTCGTAATAATGTTACACTTTGATAAATTTGCCCTGGCTTTCGTGTTATTGTCATGCTAGTTAGCCTTATAGCTTGCAGGTTTTCATAATGATTCTGCAGAACCTAATAAATAAATAACGTTACTGCAAAACATAAACGAACTACAAAACTTGAACTCTTGATTCATTTTAATTGGTCGCTTCGTATAATTTCTATTGTAAGAAAAAGAACTAGGCCTTTTTGTGATCTAGATTTATAGATAACGCATAACCAATTATCATGTAAACATCATGAGTTAGTTCAGAACAATATAAACCACGTTAACAATATTTGCCAGAAGAAAATCCCTGCGTGGTTTTGTTTTGGTCAGGCATATTTTGTCATATGCAAAAAGTGTGGCTCATGAAGTCACGAAAATTCCTGGGCTGTATTTCGGTAAATGACATCAATAAGAGGAACCTTTTCAACTAACCTGACAGACAGATACTGTTCTCATGAACTCAGTGCTTCCCAGTGATCATCCTGATAAGACTCGATGGACTACATTTTCATGCCCAGTTACTGAAGCTTGATACCATTCACTTATGTTGCACAAATGTCCTTTGTGTTGTGACTGAATTTAAATGGTAGCAGATTAACGTTACTGCAGGATTCCCCTTTAAAATATTTAGAGAGAGAGGGCTTTGTATTTTCATGATATTTCAAATCGGAGATAAACACGTTTACATTGTACATTGCCAATAAGTTACAGTACTCTGCATAATTGAGTACACCCCATTTTGAAAATAATTATTTTTATCTATTTCTCAGTGAATATAGGCAATGTATTATGGTACATTCAAACAAAACAGATTTATTAAACAGATATAGTTATTAAAATAATGTTTTAGTAACCAAGAAAAATGTTGCAATAAAATACAACCTACAAAATTTTAACAAAAATTTTCAATTTTATTGCTTCTCTTAATATTTTCTGTTTTAAATTTGTATTTAATATTTTTGCATAATGTAAACATTTGTGTGTACTAGTTTTTGAATCGTTATTCTAAGTAATTTTGTTAGATAAGCTCCAGATTTGGCTTCAGTTCCGACTAATCTAATGTATATACACAAATATAATATTTTATAGCTTCCTTTTAAAAATAAGAATTTAAAAGAGAGATTTGTGTGGGGTGTACTTATATATGCTGAGCACTGTATGTGGATACAAAATAATGATCTGAGTTTAAATTGTGTGAGAGGAAATCTGGCTAAATCTGAAAGGATTGGTTTAAAGACGTTAGTTGTTTTATATTAGGGCTTCATGATATATTGTTTCAGCATTGATATTGTAATGTACACGTTCGCAATAGTTACATGGCAGCATGTGCAATGTCCAGTCTGGATTATAATTAACCTGGTACAATACTTTGTCATTGCATAGTTTATCCAAAATGTGTTTGATTTTTTGTTTTTTTTTAGATCTGTGACAATTAAGCAAGAGTTTAAAAGCACAAGAAATGTAGATGTTTGTAGCTTTAACAAAGATTATTTATATATAATTATTCACACAATAAAGACCATGCAACATTGTTTACATTTGTTTCTTTAAGTTCTTTGTCTTATTGCTGTACGACTCCTCAGGAAAACCAATAAAGCTCTGTTTATTTCATTTATTTTTTTATATCTGTTTATACATTGTTTCGTATGTTATGCATATACACTGTCGTACAATATTATTCTAATCAATCAAAAGTTATGATTTTTTTTTCCAAATAGAGATGTTAAATTGATTTGGGGAAATTGTATTTATAATATATCGCAAAATTATATTGCAGAAAAACAAATTATTACAATATTTGTTTTTTCAAAATCGTGCAGCGCAAGTTTATATAGTCAACGCTGTTTACACACACACACACACACACACACTCACACACACTCACACACACTCACACACACTCACACACACACACACACACACACACACACACACACACACACACACACACACACACACACATACACAAACAGTTTGGGAGCACAGAGAGTTTGAGTTGATAATTTTGTGAATGGAAGTTAAGTGTCCTTTTGGTGTAATTTGCTTGGTTTCAGTTCTCTGATTGATGAAACTGTCTCAGTAGAATAATGGGAATTTAAAAATTTTCACACGTAATTCTGTGGTTAAATGAGATCGTTTTAAAAAGTTGGAATCCTGTGGAATGATGGCTGCAACTACAGCAGAAACTTGATTGCTAATCTTGTAATAGTAGTTCTGTTTTTTTTATTATTATTTTTTATATGTATTAAATTCAGATCCCTTGTTGAAAGTTTTGAATTCTAGACCATGATTGTCTTGTTACACTATAATTGGTATTAAAGAAGTAGTTCATCCCAAAAAGTAAATATTTACATGGTAAATTTTATAATGCTGCAGCTGCTCTGTGCAGTCTAATAAAACGCACAACTTATTAAAGAATATTTGATGTTTCCCTGTTTTCTATTAAACCAATCTGGAAATCAAGGGTATATGATGTCTCAAATTCAGATGAGTAGCTGCTTGGATCCGGAAACAGTAATCCATACGTCACGAATTTACAAGCCGATAGTATGACGATATAAGAAGACACAGTCCTTAGCACTAGTTAAAAAGCCTTATTTCTCTGTGATCATTTTTCAAAGCACTTGGCATAATGTAAGTGCATGTCAATAAAATATAGACACTGTTCTAGAGTTTATATATATATATATATATATATATATATATATATATATATATATATATATATATATTAATGACAAAAATCTTAAATATTTTGCCTTTAAAACATCTCTGGTGTCAGTGTGAATGCTGATGGTTGATCCTTGAGCAAATCAAACAAGACTGAGCCCGATCCATTTTCAAATTTAAGTTTAGTGTGGCTTATCCGGAATATGAACAAAGTTAGACCAGACACATCAAAACAATCCAGAAATAGTAACATACATGATGATGTCACAAGCTGTCACCTGATACAAATGCCATCACATGCACGTGTCGTTTCAGCCCAGCTTCCTCAGTGTGGAAGGCTTTGTGCCGAAACGTCTGTTTGTCTGTTATCACCCGTAAAATGTAAGAAAAAGTAAAAATAAAAACAGTATGAAGCAATTGAGTGCGAATCATTACCTTCTTTTGAATAATAGTAACGATCAGATTAACGCATCAAACCAAAGAAGTAACTAAAAAAAACCGCAAGCGCGCAGGACAAACTTCAGTAACTCTCCACATTTAAAATATAAAACATGTTTACTGATTGATATTTTTCTGATCCCATAACTCTGTGGTTATATAAACCGATGTTTTAATGTTAACATAAACTTTCTCTGTGAATTTATGTTTTGAGATTTTACTGCAAATGTCACATCTATAACTCTGGACTTGCTCCGCGTCAAAGCTAAACTAACCAACACATAATGTATAATTTCTTTTCCAAATGATCCAAGAGAACCAAACTGCATGTCTGAACACACCCTTTATGATATTTGGTGGTTTTGTTTATTCAAAGAGATCGCAAAGGCCTATCTAACAGCGATAACCATAAACCTTTGAACCGTGTGTGAAATGACTCCACTTTCTCTTTGTCGTTTCAGGACTAGGCATGACCTCAGAGCGTGAGTCTCCAGAAGAGTGAGTGTGAATGGAGTGACTGGAGTAATGGACAGCCAGTGCAGCAGCAGTGTGGGCTCCAGGGCCAATTTAGGGGGTTTGGGCAACATTAACTCCACTCCCATTTCTGCTCGCGTCGAGTCCTATGAAGCAGGAGAGAAGAAGGGCATCTCTGATGTCCGAAGAACCTTTTGCTTATTCGTGACCTTTGACCTATTGTTCGTCACCTTGCTGTGGATTATTGAGCTCAATGTATGTTGGGGCATCGCATTTTCATTTGATGATATTACACGCATACAATATACACCTATATGCTATATAACTACAGGTTATATGTATGTATGTGTATGTGTATGTGTATATATATATATATATATATATATATAAAACTTTAAGTGTATCTCCTTGAAAGTGTCAGAATGTTTAATTCCTCCTGAGGCCCAGAAATGTAATTAATTTGTATATAAACGAAACATGGCAAAGGGAATGTGACAACTGCATAAATAATAAATTACACGAAATTAACACGAAAACAAATAAAAGACACTTGGCAAATTATTATTTTGAGGCCAGGCATGAACAAACTGTCTGTGCCAGATGTCGAATTTGACATTCTAGGTTGACTCATTGTATATACTGAATAACGAAGCACCACCCAAATGTAATTACTGCCAAGCTGCTCTTACTATGAAACATACTTTATTGGAATATGAAAGTTTGAATGCCATTAGACAAAATTTTCTTAAGGAGAGTACTTTGATGGACATTTTTAAAAAGGTACCTCTAGGAAGTATCTTAAATTATTTATAAAAAATTCAACTGAAAAAAAAACATATTTAACTTTGAATCTATTTTTGTGAAAGTTTTAGTCATTTATTTTTATCCTATTTATTTGTCTAAGTAACTTTTTACTGTAATACAAATTTGTTTTTAATCATGTAATATTTTTATGTATATATAATTTGCTATGAAATAGCCATAAGTTGCTGATGTGGCAGTAAATAAAAAATAAATAATTTTAAGTGTTAAAAAGCTATTAGTTGCTAGTTAATTAGTTAATGTTATTTAAATAATAAGATTATGGCAGCTAATAACCTTACCTTTTCTGAATTTAATTGTAACGCAATAATGTGCACCTTTTGTAAAGCTGCTTTGACACAATAGTTATTGTTAAAAGCGCTATACAAATAAACTTGAATATAATTGTATATTATTATTAATGTGAAGAAAAACACACTAATATTAATTTAGTTGCACTACTTTTTATTTTAAGTTATGGTAACACAGTCTCAAGTCATAATTCATGCTACTAACAAACCGTTAATTTGGACTTTTAGCTCAATAAACTGCTAATTTGCTGCTTGCTAATAGTTAGCAAGGTAGTAGCTGGGTTTATAGATTTTTAGATTAGAGATGTAGGATAAGTCATACTTTATAACTACCATAAAACTATTAATATTGCAATAATAGCCAGGTAATAAGCCAGTAGTTAATAGATGTCATTGTGACTTAAACTAAAGCGTTACCAAAGTCTGAGATATCAGTCATAGACTGACACCCACTAGAACTTTATTGAGTTCAACAGTAGTTTATTTATCAAAACATATTTTCTGTCAAATTTAGAACATCTGTCATTTGATGACATAATAAAAGACTCTAATGAAGTATGACAGTGCAGCTCTAAAACACTAATTCATTGTAATTTTTATATAATTCATTGTGCTCAAACTATAATGTTTTGGTCAGCAAGACGTTTTGAATCAATCAATTTATAATGCAATTTAGGTTAGCACTTGAACCTTATATAGTCTAATAAGTACAGATGGGCACTGGGTACAGATGGTAATTATTTGACATAAATGTATTTGATAAATTCTGTACACTTAATGTTCCCTACATTGTTTCTCATTCAAGTTATTTGAAACATTAAAATAGAAAATGTATTGCATTGAATATGCTTTCATATGTGCACAAAATGAAGTGTCTCATCTTTGACCTTAAATAATTTTTTCATTTTTTGTTTCATTCAGGTCAATGGAGGTATACAGCAGCAGCTGGAGCAAGAGGTGTTGAAGTATGATTACCACAAGTCTTTTTTTGACATATTTGTAAGTACTGCCCAACTAACTATCTTATTATTCATTTCAGTTTCCCAAGCCAATAATATTAATGAAAGTTAATATTTACAGTTTTTCTCATTCGCTTTGGTGCGTCTCTCACAACACTAGTGCATTTTTGCATAACAGTTAATGTATTTGTCAAAACAATTAGTACAAACTGCAAAACCTAGCTGATAACCTGCTAAAGCGCGTCACTTGCTCAAAATGGATAGTTTATTCCTCAAAAGCAAGTACTGATGTCAATGAAAGTGTCAGTGTCATCAAAATGAAAAGTCCTGACACCATTGTTTTTGAACAAGATAGTCAAATGGTTTTGTCATGTTTTCATCATGACAGTTTACTCTGTAGATTTTTTTCAATGCAAAAAGTCAGATTTTGGTGACACTTTCTGAAAATGCTCAAGACAGAACTCTATACTGTTTGCACAGCCACTTGAAAACTACAGTAAAGTTAGACATCACTGCATTGAGTGAGGTATCTGAGTACAAGACACTGACTATAGGTATCAGCTATCAACTATAAGCTATAGGTATGTCGCGTACTGAAGAGCGGGGTGAGTTTGTTTGAAGGAATGAGAAACTGCTACTAGGATGTGCACAAATGACTAATTGTTTTGAGAAATGCATTAACTGTTGTGCAAACGTAAATAGTGTTGTGAGAAATGCACCAAAGCCACTGAGAAAAACTGTAATTAAATCATATAAAATAGGATTCAAAATAAGAAGTTCTAAATAAAAAATAAATTACAGTGTATGCATAAATAATAATTTATAAAGTATATTTCCCCACATTATTAATGTCGTAGCTGTTAAATTTGTGTGGCTGTTACATTTGTGAACCTGTGCTATTCAATTATTTAGATTTTAATTAAATCTTCTTTAAGTACTTCCAATCATTATTTTAAAGCTTTTTGTCTACAAAGAGATCTGTAAATCTGCAATCTAAAGATATGAGTACTCAAACAAACAATGCTAGCTCTTTATATTATACTCAGTTTATATGCTATTGCATGGAAATCACCAGCGCTTAAAGGTAAGAAAAATAAAAACTCATGTGGTGAAACTATTAGCCCAGTCTATCCCACAGTTCCCTTTTCAATGAAGACTCTTTTCACTTATCATTAATGGCCTCATCAAACCTGTATGACCTTTGAAAAAGCCATTTAAATGCAAAACAACAGTGAAACCTACTGAGTTTTATTGTGTGGACAATTTCCAAAATATCTTCTTTTGTAATGCACTAAAGAAAAAGGCGATGACATAATGATGACATTATTGTCTCTGTAGCCTCTTATCTGCAGTCACATGCTAATAAAGTGGTTTGTTTCCTTGATGCATAAATCCAGTTGTCTTTGTGCACTCAAGCATGTGATAAAACCTCTTTGAACATTTTCCATGTGAGAGTTTTTGGCTTGGTGTGGTGAAGGTTTCATTACAAGACAATGTGGTTCTTGTTGAAAGAAAAAAACAGACATTTATGTTTTAAGACAGGTTGGTATTTGGGAATTAATCCTGTAGACTTTGCCCTCTAAGTTCCAGTGTGGCCTAGTCTAGATTTACACTAATGCACCTTAATGTCGTTTTGAAAGTGTTACTCGTCAGCATTGTTTAACTGTTAAAGTTTTAATGCAACAAGTATTTTATGAAATGTCGACTAACCAGTCCTGAAAGTCAGATAGCATGTGTATCTGTGTTTTGTACATTGCCGAACAAAAGTTCACAGTGTCTTACAGCCTTCAAGGCGGCATTTGTTATTCTGCATTCTTTATATTAGCTACTTTGGTTTTCAGGATAACGTCACTAGTTTTCATGACGGATGTTTGCTATAATTTTGGAAATGTTTGGAAAAGAAAAGTTTCAGGATAAACTATTTATTGAGGGGTATTTTATCTGAAGTACTTAACTATTTTCTTAAAGCAATCAGAACACTCTAAACATTTATCAATAATTCTAAAAAAACATTTAATTAAACCATATATAAATTAGAGCTCTATTATAGGAAAGAATTATAGAGCCTCTATATGTAAGGCCACAATATTATCACAGGAATTATTATTTTTAATTATTGCAATTGATATAGAACTACTGTAATAATGGCTCATCGTAATTGCTACACAGACAAATTGAGTCCATGCCCGAAGTCTAGCACCCATCAAGCATTCAATCATAAATCAACATGAATTTATTAATTATGTTGTATCTGCACTTCGTGTTTGATTAATTAACTGGGCAGGATTCAGTCAGTGATTGTGCATCCAAACGCATTTTTAACCGTGACTTATTTTAATGCCTATGATTGGTCATTGCATTCATAAGCGTAATATAAATTCTAATATAAATTGATTGTGTATTGCTCTCTACTAAAACAACACGCATATGCAACAAGTGTAATGCCTGGAAAGTATACTTTTTTATTAGTTTTCATGTTTCATTTTAACTATGACAACCATGAAACAATTCAGTTTCATTGTGCTGGGCCATTTTGAGCCTCTTTGAATTTGTGGGTATTTTCTTGCTACAAGCCCGCATCAATGTGACTGTCTGAATGTTTTTTCTCCTCAGCTATTGGCTGTGTTCCGCTTTGCAGCCCTGATTCTGGCGTATGCGGTCTGTAAGCTGCGTCACTGGTGGGCCATTGCGGTAGGCGACTTTTATTTATTTATAATCCTCCTTCATCCACCAGAGGGCGCTGATGCTTTACTCATCAACTCTTCTTCATCCTTATTCATTTTTGTTTAGTTTTGTAAACATTTTAGCTGTGTTATTGCGAACATCCTACATTTTGACGAAAAGGTCTATATTTAGAGAAATTTTAGTATTGAATTTCTATTACCTTTTCAAAAATAGATTTTAAGCTAAGTAGCCTACAAGTAGTTACAATTAAGATAAACACATTCCATTGAAAAGCATTAAAGCCACAATTTGTACCTTGGTGTTATGTTAGCATAAAGAAAAATGTAATTTAAAGTGCTAAAATCCTTAAAATGAATGGATTGTTGGCAGTTATGATCTTGACTGATGCTGGTAAATACATGTTCCAGTGAATGAGGTATTAAATTAGCTATATAAAATTATGGGTAACACTTAATATTTAAAGTTGTGCTTGTTATTGCACTATGAGTTAATATAAACTAACATGAACTAAAGTTATTTAACTTAAATAACAATAACTAACATTAACAAAAGTTGAATACATACCATAATAGATGTATTACTAATTGTTTGTTCATGTTAGTAAATACATTAACTAAAATTAACTAATGGACCATTATTTTAAAGTATTGCCAAAATATGACACAATCTTCAATTGATACACAAAAGTTTATGACTTAAACAATGGCTCGATCAAACCTTTCTTTGTTACAGATAACTACAGCAATCACCACTGGTTTCTTAATAGTGAAAGTAGTTGTGTCAAAGGTATGTTTCTCATTCAACACCTTTTTTTTGTAATTTAAAAAATTTGAGCTTAATTTATTAGGCATTTATCCTCTAATGTCTTTGTGTTGTCCAGCTGCTCTCTCAGGGGGCGTTTGGGTATTTGTTACCCATCATCTCCTTCATTCTGGCGTGGATTGAAACGTGGCTGCTGGACTTTAAAGTCCTTCCTCAGGAGGCCGGTGATGAAATCAGTGAGAATCAGATGAATTTATTCACACTAATATTGAGTAAAAGTTAATGCACATTGTAACTAATGCTAATTATATCAAATTTTACATTATGCCATTTGAATCATGTTAACTGGATAATTCACCCAAAGCTGAAAATTCTGTTATCATTTATTCACCCTTTACTTTTTCCAAACCTGTTTCAGTTTCTTTATTCTGTTGAACATCAAAAGAAGATATTTTGAGAAAGCTGAAAACCTGTAACCGTTGTCATCCATAGTATTTGGTTTTCCTATACTGAAGTCATTACTTTCAGCTTTCTGTAAAATATCTTTTTTTGTGTTCAACAGAATAAAGAAATTCATAAATGTTTGGAATCACTTGAGTGAGAGTAAATAATGAGTAAATTTTCATTTTTCAGTGAACTGTCTCTTTAAGCTAACATGTTTGTTTTGTGATGCAGGGTATCTTTCAGTGCAGAATCGGCTGGAACATGAACCTCTTTTACCGCCGGGACCCCTTTCTGAGGGCCTGTTTTACTCTCCTCCAGAATCTTTAGCCGGTAAGTGACTTACTGTCTGTCTAGTTTTTTTTATTTGTTTAAACAGATGGCTCTTGTTGTCAATAGCTTTAATGTTCTCATGATGGTTTTTCAACGGACATGTATTTTCCAGGAAATATCACTGTTAGAGCTCAGGTGCACTGCGGTGAGCGCTAGAGATATTCAGGGAAAAACCTGTTTAGAGATATTGCAGATATATTATTATTAAGTGGCTTGCAAAAATAATTCAAGCGTTACCATCTTACAGTTAATCATTGTTTTACAACTTTGTGGAGTGAAATAATTGGCTCAAAAGATACAGAGTGAAGTGTTTTTAGTAGAATCAATTATATTACTGAATTTTTAAATGAATTTGCCAATGAAATTTGCCAATCTCTTTCATTGAAATTTTGTTTAATAAATTACATAAATTGGTCAAATAAAATAAAATACCATTGATTTATTATTTAGCATTTTGACAACATAAAAACGTAAATTAACTAAATGTACATTATTATGTGAGTGTATTATGTAAATTCTATATATTCGCAATATTTTTCTTTTTCAAGGTAATATTTAACGGAGTAAAGAATTTTTCACAGTATTTCCTATAATATTGTTTGTTCTGGAGAAAGTTTTATTTGTTTTTTTTGGCTAAAATAAAAGCAGTTTTTAATTAAAAAAAATTCATATCAATATTATTAGCCCCCTTCAATATTTTCTTTTTGGTTGTCTACAGAACAAACCATTGTCATACAACGACTAACCTAGTTAAGACTTTAAATGTCCCTTTAAGCTGAATACTAGTATCCTGAAAAGGTCTAATAAAATATCATGCACTGTCATCAAGGCAAAAATAAAATAAATAGTTTCTTAGAAATTAGCTAATAACATTAGCACATATGTTTTGGCTATGTCCCAGATTATCTGCATTTCGGTCAAATATTTTTTTATTTTACTCCAGAATATTTAGCAAAGATGTTTGTGCAAATCCCTTAATTGCTGCCTCTGGTATTGTTTCTGAAAATAATCATTTGTTAAAAAGTGAATTAAACTGCATTGCCTTTACTTTTCTTTTGGCAAGACGCTTGATTTCAATCAATTGGAAACAATAATTTCTCCCTTCTTAAAAACAGTGGGCCAATGATGTGTTGCATTTCCTTAGTCTGGAAAAAAATAAGACTTAATTTAAATGGTTCATCAAATTCACTACCATGTGGCGTCAATTCATAAATTACTTCCAAACCAAATGCAATTGTAAATGGACAAAACAATGCTGATGCTGTCAGGTTTTGCTTGTATTGTACTGATGTCAACTTCATTTTTTTTGTCTTTGTATATATATACACAATGTTAAAGCACTATGTTTATATTTGCTAACTTATATTTATATTTTATATAATTTTATATATAATTTTTTTGACTATTTAAATAAAAAAAAGGGGAAAAAATTAAAGAATTTTAAGAAATTAACTATTAAAAATATTATGTTTACAAATTTCTTGAAATGTGTCTCTGTTAAACAGAAATTGGAAAAAATATATAAAATAATTCTAATTTAATAGGAAGGACTTTACTATTTATAAAATATCAAACATCTTTTGTAGCAGCACAATTATTTTCAACATTAAAACTATTAAAACTTGTTCATTTAGCAAGAAAAGCATAAATGCTTGCTACAGGTGGATTAAAGACACATAATTACTATCTTACTAATTTTAATATGACAACACTTGATATTTTACTCAGAGCTGTTAATGATCTAAAGGAACGCATACGTATACATTTTAGGTCAATGGCTTAAATAAATGTGCAGCAGTTATTTAAAGAAGTTTCCAAGCTGTAAAAACATTTTTGTGCAAGGATGTAAATGCATTATTCTAGTCTGAATGTCACATTCGTGGTAATTTTGATAATGGACGCACCTTAAGTTTCCAGATGTTTGGGTGGCCTAAGTTTTACAAGTAGTTTTACACTTGATGATAATTGAATCATTAACATCCAGTTCATGAGGAGGAAGTAAACTCTTTTTGACATTATGTCCCTTTAATTTGTTATTCATTTATTGTTAATGACCACAGATGTCTTTAAATATCTCACAAAATTAAAAAAATCAAATGTGTTAGAAAAATATGTCTAAAAAAGGCACCAAAATTACATGTACTAAGAAATAAAACTACAGTGCTTAGCATAATTGAGTGCACCCCATTCTGAAAATGAATATTTTTATCCATTTCTAAGTGAATATAGGCAATGGATTTTGGTGAATCTAAACAAAACAGATTTATTAAACAGATATATTTATTAAATAATATTTTAGTCACCAAACATGTTTAGAAATTGAAAGATAATTCAATTAAATGTAAGCAAAATATAGCAAAAATAAATTACAACCTGCAAAATTTCAACTAAATCTTAAATTTTTTTTTGCATGATTTTTCTTCTTTGTTAAATTTGTATTTAATATTTTTCTATAAAATAAATTTTGGTGTACTAGTTTTTTGTCCCATTATCCTAAGGTATTTTGTTAGATAAGCTCCAGATTTGGCTTCAGCACTGACTAATCTAATGTATATGCACAGATATAAAATTGTATAGCTTCCTATTAAAATATGAATTTAAAAGATAGATTTGTGAGGGGTCTACTTTATAGGCTGATCATTGTATATATTACAAACATTTAAAATATTCAAATGTTTAATAAGTTTATCACCCTTTTTTTGACTGTTTGTAAACATATTTGTGTTGGCCTACATCGGTGCAAGACGTACTAAACATGATATTTTGCTTCCGCAGACTCAGATGAAGATCTTAATGATAAGCATGATCTTGAGAAGCCCATCGTCTAGCAGGTTTTTACAACAACATTTAAATAGTTCTTTTATGCAATGTTAAGTAACTAATAAATCATTTAAAATATCTTAATATGTTTTCTTTCATCAGGTGCTAAGGGTTAAACAGCGACCTCTGGCCTCTTCCAAACTGTGTGTCTTAAAAAGGGTTTGTGCGTGTGTGTTTGTTTGACCAGAACTAGACAGTTACTCTGCCTTACATACACCATCGCCATCAACAGCAGTTTTATTTATCCGTGTCTACATGAACACAAAAGATCATAGTGCAATCTTTTTTATATATGTTTGTCAATAGTTCTCCTCAAAAAACGAACATTATACATTTACCCAAAGTTAAGTTTCAATTCTGTTTTGATGTTCTTTTAGATATTTTCAATAATTGTCAATTAAAAACTGTTATAGGAAAAAAAATAACATGGAAGTCAATAGCTACCGTCAACAACAACATCACATCTTCTTCCATGTTCAACAGTGAATACAGATTTGGAACTTTTGTAATACATAATGGCCTAAAGTTCAATTTTAGGTGAACTTTAGCTTTGAATGGGTTGTTCACCAAAAATGAAAATTTCCTTTTCATTTATTCAATCTCAAGTTTTGTTTTGTTTCTGAAGAAAAGCAGCCATGGACATCCATAGCAGGAACCAAAAAAATACTATGAAAGCCAATGGCATCATTCTTCAATATATCTTCCTCTGTGTTCAACGGAAGAAACTCAAGCATGTTTGAAACAATTCATGATGAGTTGATGATTATGGAATTTTCATTTTTTGGTGAACTATCCCTTTTAATAGTCCCCACTAAACAAATGTCTGCTCTGTTTATGCAGTATCGCTTGAAAAATGAAGGATTTTAATGTGTGTTTTGAACTTGTTTGGCAAAAGATATCAGTGTTGAACACAACATTTTGCTTGACACTCTTCAACTGCTTCTATGAAACATAACTGCTGTCTTACTTATGTATATATACAGTAAAGCCGCAGATTAACACATGGATCTCACATGCATCACTGGAAAGGACCTAAATGTGAATAGCAGTATAGTCTCAGGTCTGCACTGCCACTCAAATGTCTATGAGGATTTTGTGGTTCTCTTTTTTTAATGCTTTTTTTCTACAAGTTAAATATTTGAAGCAAACAGAAAGACAACAGATGCTCGGTTCACTTGCATGAAATAAGTTTATTAAATGAAGAATATATATGGCTTGTAATGATGCATGGATATGTAATACATTTTTATATTTGCCTTTTGCCTCTCTTCAGTAAGCATCCCTGTGCAAAATACATAATTATACTTCTGGTTGCGTTTACATGTGCCAAGTTTACTGAATAAGGGCTTCTGAATCTGCATTGCAAAAAAAAACTAGGATTTCTAATGCATTAAAAATAGTTGCTTTCATTTTTAATTTAAAGACTTTACAAGTCTTTTCAACTTGCATTACAGTAACCCGAGTTAAAGCATCAAGTGAGATCTTGTATAACTTAAAAAAATAATCATTTTTAAAGGGATAGTTCACACAAAACTAATCAAAATTAGTTAGTGGCTGCCTTTTTCTAACATTTTTCTGAATATTTAGGTTTTTTTAATGTAAATGTGGTAAATGATGATGACATTTTTATTTTTTGGTGAACGTCAATAAAATAAAGTAAAAAAAAAACATTGTCATGGCTTATAAATAATTTAATTGATATTTTTGAAGTCAGTTTGATGTAAGTATGCTTGTAATGACTTGTAAAGTTAATTTGATTTGACTTAAAAATTGAAAGCAGCAACTCATTTCTTTCCAAATGTGCTGCAGCCAGAATTTTCTTGAAATAATTAGATCACAACGCCTCAAGTATGGAGGATAATTGCTGATTGTGTCCTTCTTTTTGGTTATGTATTAAAATCTTTTTTTTTAAAATAAAAGCGTGTCTTTTTGCATGGGTTTGTGCCGTGTGTTAGTGAGGGGGAGCGGAAACCCCTGCCCAGAGTCAGTTTGCTCTCTCACGGATGGTTTAACCTCAAATAACAGCTGAGATTAAGAAGACAAACAGTTAATGAACTATCAGTCAATCGAGCTGTGGTGAAACTGCTGCTTGTTTTTTTTTCCAGTAAGCTGCTCCGCCTGTGGTGTGCTCGTACACAACCACATTTTCCTACCGCAGCACTTTCAGGCGTCATCTTTGCACATTCACAGCAGAGCTTTTCATCTTTCAACTTTATTTATGCATTAAGTTGAGAAAAGCTATTTTAGAGCTAAAGCAAAAGTATTCTTAGATTTTATGTCGTTTTTAGCAAGCATAATTTTACTGAAGGTTATTATTATAGTAGAATTTAACATAATTTTTTCACCTAATTAAATATAGTTATGAATATAATTACATTTCACATATATAAATAAATGTGAAAGTCAGAATTATTCGCCCCCTTCTATTTTTATTTATTTATTTATTTTGATTTTTCCAAAATATGTTTAACAGAGCAAGGAAATTATCACAGTATGTCTGATAATATTTTTTCTTCTGCAGAAAGTCTTATTTTGTTTTATTTCGGCTAGAATAAAAGCAGTTTTGAATTTTTTTAACACCATTTTAGAATCAAAGTTATTAGCCCCTTTAAGCTATATTTTTTCCTCGATAATCTACAGAACAAACCATCGTGATACAATAACTTGCCTAATTACCCTAACCTGCCTAGTTAACCTAATTAACCTAGGTAAGCCTTTAAATGTCACTTTAAGCTGTATAGAAGTGTCTTGAAAAATATCTAGTCAAATATTATTTACTGTCATCATGACAAAGATAAAATAAATCAGTTATTAGAAATGAGTTATTAAAACTATTATGATTAGAAATGTGTTGAAAAAAATCTTCTCTCCGTTAAACAGGAATTGAGGAAAAATAAACAAGCGGTTTAATAATTCTGACTTCAAGTGTGATTGAAGTCAAAATTTAGTAGCCCCCCTTTGAATTGTTTTTTCTTTTTTTAATATTTCCCAAATGGTATTTAACAGAGCAAGGAAATTTTCACAGTATGTCTGAGAATATTTTTTCCTATGGAGAAAGTCTAATGTGTTTCATTTTGGCTAGAATAAAAGCAATTATTAGCCCCTTTAAGTTATTTTGCTATTCAATAGTCTACAGAACAAACCATCGTTATACAATAACTTGCCTAATCACCCTAACCTGCCTAGTTAACTTAATTAACCTAGTTAAGCATTTAAATGTCACTTTAAGCTGTATAGAAGTGTCTTGAAATATATCTAGTAAAATATTATTTACTGTCATCATGGCAAAGATAAAGCAAATCAGTTATTAGAAATGAGTTATTAAAACTATTATGTGCAGAAATTTGTTGAAAAAAAATCTGCTCTCTGTTAAACAGAAATTGGGGGGGAAAAATAAAAATAAATAGGGGTCTAATAATTCTGACTTCAACGTTATATATATATATATATATATTAGTTATATATATATATATATATATATGTATGTATGTATGTATGTATGTATGTATGTATGTGTATATATATTAGGCAAGTTATTGTATAACCATGGTTTGTTCTGTAGACTAACGGGAAAAAAATAGCTTAAAGGGGCTAATAATTTTGACCTTAAAATGTTTATAAAAAAATTAAAAACTGCTTTTATTCTAGCTGAAATAAAATATATAAGACTTTCTCCAGAAGAAAAAATATTATCAGACATCATTTGCGAAATATTAAAAAAAAAAAAAAAAATCAAAGGGGGTCTAATAATTCTGACTCTAACTGTTTATTCGCATTAGCCATTTGTACTGTACGAGTTTCAGGCTACTGTTGATTGTTTGCATCTGCGCTTTTTTACATGCCTCATTCCGGTCTTCTAGAGATATTTCATCACCTTAGTTTTGATTCTGAGGATTTGTTAGAGCCAGAAACAAACAATACGTACAAATAGGAACATGAACATTTATCGTAACAGTGTCCTATGATTGCTGCCTCTAATGAGAAAATGTTAGTAATATCTAATGAATGATTTTGAGATGAGGTGAGGACATAGAGTTTCTAAGTTGAAGACATTTTTTTAAAAATAGGTCTTTGGAATGTCACTTATATTTTATGATTTAATATGAATATTGTTTTTAGATTGCACATTTGTGTGTGTATAAACATTATTGGTAATTTTGTTTGTTAAGTTATATACTGTAAATTTCCAAATATTGTAACTCTGTTATAGTTTATTAGAATTTCTTAGAGTTTAATGAACAATTTCATTATTGCATATTCATAATTTTCATGAAGTGTATTTATAACAATTAATCTATATTTAAATCCTTTACTTTTATTTAGTGAACAAAACATGATTTGTCAGATTTTATTTAATGTTCAAAGATTTCCACAAATCCATTACAAAGTAAAACAAAATAAATTTTTGATAAATAATGTTTTTTTTTTTATTATTGGATTTCAAAAATAAAAATCTTAAAATATGCTTTAATGATCAAAGCAGGTTTTGTCAAATTTGGCCAAATGTAAAAAAATTACTTACAAACATAAAAAAGGGTGAAAGCAGTAAATCACATACTTTTTTATAGATTATAAAATAAAATGCATTTTTAAAGAGACCAAAATAAAAAGAAAGTTGCACAAAGAAGCACATTTTAATGAACAAAACATGTTTTGTCAGATTTTATTAAAAGTAAAAAAATTCATATAAAGCATAAAAAATGAGAAAAAAAAAACATCTGTAAAATGTGGACTTTTAAAAAATTATAAAATTGTACAATATAATTAAAATATATTATATTATTTTATATAAAATATATAATATACATAATTTTAATATATAAAATTGTACTTTTTAAAACCAGATATCTTCATTTTAGTAGATGCAAAAGTTGCACAGAGCAGAACATCGAAAGCAATTAAGCAGAGGCAACCAAGCTATAAAAATCAGCTGAACATACTTTATCTGATAAACTCATGAATTCATTTGCTTGATGTTTATTTAAAGCATTCAGTAAATGAACTAAGCTGAAGTTTTTAAGAGCGCTCCTCTTTCTTTCCAGCTTTTCTCTTTAACAGAACGATGAAGACTACTATAAAATACAGCACGTTCTTCATGAGCATGACAGCGTAGCCGTACACAAACAGCTGCAGACTCTGTTTCTTCTCCGGGTTGGCTGTAATAAACAAATGAACGCTTTAATTTAAAAAAAAGCATTGCGTTAGGAATAGTCATACTGATAATCATAGGAAGATAGGCTGATCAACATACATATTTTAAGTTATATATAAAACATATGCAAAACAAATTCGTTCATTACTTTTACGCTCCATTGAGATACTGTGTGCTTGGATCTGCTAAGTGAAGTTCAGCACAGACTCTAATAGGTTAAATGACTAAATTTACTCTGATTAAAACTGATATATTATGCAATGCGTCATTTAAAAGTTTGCCTGAAATTTGGTTGTGAAAGCTAGAAATGATTTATTTACCTGATTCTTGTGATATCGGGGTCTCAGTGCTTGGTGGGCATGTTGGGTCAGGACCACCACTGGGTTTAATTACAGACGGCTTTTCATCTAAAATATAGCAATAAAGTCACAAAAATGTTTAATCCTTTTCTATATATTTTATATTTATTAGATTTTATAGTTATATTCCTGTAAAATTTGAATTCTTTATCAAATATTTGTATTGTGCTCTTTATAAGAGCGAGGATATTTCACAGTATTTTCTAGTGTATTAAAGAATGTCTTATTTCTTTTAGTTTGGCTGGAATAAAAAAAAATAGTTTAATATTCAAGGTCAAAATTAATAGCTATCTTATGTTTTTACAGTTGTCTATAAAACAAACTGACTTGCCTAATTGACCTATCTTGGCTAATTAACCTATATTGACCCAGTTAAACCTTAAAATTACACTTTAAATGTAATATTAGTGTCTTACAAATTAACTCATACAAATATTAAATGCTGTTGTGATGCTAAAGACAAAGTAAAGACAAAATAGTTTGTTAAAACGATTATGTTTAAAAATGGGTTGAAATATCCTCTCCATTAAATGTCAGTTTTCTTAAGGAATAAAAATTCACATGCATTTGAAGTCAAAATTATTAGCCCTCTATTCACGTTAAAATAATTTTTAAAGATTGTAAACCTGCTTTTATTCCAGTCAAACTAATAGAAACAAGACTTAATCCAGAACACAACAAATATTATAGTAAATACTGTGAACATTTTCTTGGTCTGTTAAACATCCCTTGGGAAACACTTGAAAAGGGATAACAAATTCCATATGGACACACACACAAAACACTTCAATATTTGCAGTGGATCAAAAAAGTTAATAAAATAATATGTTTTTTTATTTAGGTTAATATCAGGCCCTGCATTTATATCCTGTGTGTGTGTGTGTGTGTGTGTGTACACACTTTACAATAAGGTTCATTAGTTAATGTTAATTAATGCATTTACTAAGATGAACAAACAATGAACAATACATTTACTACTGTATTTGTTCATGTTAGTTAACGTTAGTTAATGAAAATACAGTAGTTCATTGTTAGTTCATGGTGCATTAACTAATGTTAACAAGCATGTACTTGGATGTTATTAATGCATTAGTAAATGTTCAATTATGGTTAAGAAATGCTGTACAAGTGTTGTTCATAATTAGTTCATGTTAGTAAATGCATTAAATAATGAACCTTATTGTGAAGTGTTGCCACTTAAATTAAAAAAGACAAACTGCCCTTTGTATTTAACAAAACCTTTCTTTAAAAAAATATATATTTTATAAAGAATTATTGTCATTTATCTTAAAGTATGCACAGTAGTTTGTCCAGGCTAAAGCTCCCAGATCACCAGTTAACTATACATATATGGGAAGTTAATCGCCTATGAAATATAGGCGATATTATATTAAATATAAACTATATAAATAATGTTATTGTAAAAGATGATAATTCAACCATAAATGAAAAAAAAAAAAAAACTGAACGCTAAAGAAAGCAGGTGAAAAACATGCCATGTGTGATAATGAAAGGATCATCACGCAGACAACTTCAACTTCAGCTCAAAGGCTCATTAGTTATCTGTTCAAAGAACTATTAAAGTGAAAGCGGCAACCGCTGCTACTAGCAAAAAAAATATTTTCCTCGCATGAATCGTATATACAGTGTTCAGCATAAATGAGTACACCCCATTTTGAAAATTAATAGTTTTATCCATTTCTCAGTGAATATAGTGCATTTGAACAAAACAGATTTAAGAAACCAATATATTTATTAAAACAATATTTTAGACATCAAACATCATAAAAATAATAATACATTTACATTCATGCAAAATATTGGAAAAAATTTATACTTTTTTTGTTTCTCTTGATTTTTGCTCTTTTTAATTATTAAATATCATATTTTCCCCAAGTATATACATTTAGGTGTACAAATTTTGGATTGTTAGCATGAATTATTATTTTAGATTAGCTACAGATTTGCTTCAGTACTGACTAATCTAATATATATGCACAAATATAATATTGTAAAGCTTCATATAGAAAATATTAATCTAAATGAGAGATTTGTCTGGAGTGTACTTATATTTTCTGAGCGCTGTATCTTTTAACACTTATATTAGAAATGTTATCAGATGTTTATAGAATGAAACAAGATTTTTAGTCCTCGTTTTTAACTAATTTATTAATTCTTTGATTTAGTGGGTTGTCATTTATAATAAAAAGTAATAATAGTTGTATAAAGGGAACTCTTTCTGTCTTGAGCGTGTCAGCTTTGAATGTGGCACACAAGACTTTCTTCAAATTACCTTTCTTTTTTATTTCAATTTGTTGGGGGTCTTTGCTTCCTTCATGAGTAACAGTGCATCTGTAGATGTTGTCTTCGGGTGTGTTTAATATCACCATACTTGTAACTGGGTCTTCATTGTGGCTGTGCTCCACAATCTGGTCATTTGATACTTCGGTCCAGCCACCACTACTGCTTTTCTTTTCCCATTTGAATGACACCAGGTCAGGAAACATGTCTTTGGCCTGGCACAATGCCGCCGGCTTCTCATTTGCCTTATTCAGATATCCTGAAAGCTTTGGTGTCACAACACTGTCCTTCCCAGGTTCTTAAAACAAACACATCAAACATAGTTTCAGTCTTCATTAAAGAACAAGCAAATATTCATTGATAAATGAGCAAACAGAGAATTATTGCATTATTTTCAGAACATTCTTTATGAAGAAAGTTGAACAATGCTTATTATTGGTTACAATCAGCCACGATCCAGAGCCAAATATAATGATTAACACTCTCCGATTATTTGTAGTACATTTTTTTTCCTGAGCGTCTATTATTGATTAAGATCTCTCTTCCTGATAGTGTACTTTATTTTAAAGATCTAGTGCAACCAATACATATACAGTTGAAGTCAGAATTATTAGCCCCCCTTTTAATTTTTTTTTTATTTTTAATATTTCCCCAATGATGTTTAACATAACAAGGGATTTTTCACAGTATTTACAATAATATTTTTAATGGAGAAAGTCTTATTTGTTTTTTATTTCGACTAGAATAAAAGCAGTTTTTAATTGTTCAAAAAACTTTTTAAGGTCATTATTAGTCCCCTTTAGCGATACATTTTTTCGATAGTCTACAGAACAAACCATTGTTATACAATAATTTGCCTAATTACCCTAGCATGCCTAGATAACCTAATTAACCTAGTTAAGTCTTAAAATGTCACTTTAAGCTAAATACTAGTGTACTAGTGTCTTACTATCTAGTAAAATATTATTTACTGTCATCATGGCAAAGATAAAATAAATCAGTTATTAGATATGAGTTATTAAAACTATTATGTTTAGAAATGTGTTGAATAAACCTTATCTCCATTTAACAGAAATTGGGGGAAATACAGAGGGGCTAATAATTCTGACTTCAATTGTGTTTTAAATATCTTTGAATTTAAAAAATTTATAACTGCAAATAAGACTTCCTCCACAAGAGAAAATACTATCAGACACACTGTGAAAATTTCAATTTTCTTTCTCTATTAAACAATATTTGGGAAATATTTAAAAAAGAAAAAAAATTCAAAGGGGTGGCTAATCATTCTGACTTCATATATATATGTATATATATATATATATATATATATATATATATATATATATATATATATATATATATATATATATATATATATATATACTGTATGCAATGTTAAGTCTGGACTATTGTTGACCAGGAACAACAGAATCACTGCATTTATATGGAATTTATACAATGTTTGCAACAACAACAAAAATTTACTAATAATTTTTTGTCTTGTTTCTAGTCCAAAAATCTACATTTCAAAGTGAAAATAAGATTATTTATTCTTACCACACTGGCAGATAGAAATGAGACAAAGAGAAGCTTTTTTTTTTGGTTTGTGATAATTCAATTGCTGTACCTGAATACTGTACTGGATACCCCAGAAAACCATCAAATAGAGCTATTCAACTATCTATCTAATATTTTTTGCAGAAAAATAACATATCACAATATTAGATTTTTCCAATTTCGTCCAGTGATATATATTATTTCTTTCAAACTTGTATGTCTCTCTGTACAAAACAAAAGGCATTTTAAAGGATTTTTTTTTAAATGTGGAAGTCCAAAAACAACCCTGATCTCCTTTGAAAGTCCTTACATGGAAAAATCTTTGATAACACTTTTTTTAAGGTGTCCTTTTTACATATGTTCCATGTACCTACTGTATTAATTACAATTAATTATGCATATTTAAAGACATACTCAAAAAAAAATAAAGTGTGACCAAATCGTATCTTTATCAAGCAAAATTATCCTCTGTTTTGTTGAAGAAGAAGGCTTTCACACTTGCAAATGTAATTACATTATACAATATGAATTTATATAAATGATATATTTTTTGCTACTGGTTACAATCAGCCGTGTTCCAGAGCCAAATCTTTTGATATAGCCCACAGATAAAGTCTATAATACTACTGAACAAAATATAATTTTCCAGCATTTCTATTTTCCTATTTGTGATATTTTAAATGCATGTTTATTTCACCCTCACATTGTTTTTAAACCTGAACGTCTTTCTTTCTTTCTTTCTTTCTTTCGTTATGAGGAACGTAAAATATGTTTTTGAAGTCTGAAACAACACTGAAACCTTTTCAACATCACTACATGGATAAAACAAAATAATATATTTTGTGGTTGATTAATGAAAATAGAACAAGTTTGGAATTTATTTAGTGATTAAATGATGACATTTACCATGTTATTTAGCATGTTTTGTATTAACCAGCGCACTAATAAATCAACATTACATGTGTACATTACAAGTGTACTAGAATTTCTTCATTGTGAGTTGAATTTTACACATATTTGGTATGAAATGAAACAACACTGAACCCCTTTAAATGTCACTATATGGAAAACACATTTTTAGCTTTGTCAATTGATGAAGAAATGATGATGTTTTTTTTCCTACCGGTTACTATCAGCCGTGTTCCAGATCCAAATCTTTTGATATCGTAGTTGTAGACCACTCAGATTAATTCAATTACAAATTCTTCTGCATAATGTTAAGCTAACTTGCATGATATGTAATTGATCAAGAAAACCATTCCTGAAGGTCTACACTATTTAAAATAGAGACTTCAAACATATTTCACTCTCATGTTGTTTCAAACAGCTTTTTTTTTCTTTCTGGGGAATGCATATTTTAAAAATTGTTCAGTAAAAGTCATTTGGATTCTAAACAACACTGAACCCCTATGAATTTCATAACTTATGATATACATTTTATCTCTGTCCAACAAAATAGTGAAGAGTTTAGATGCAAAATCCTCTAAATTCCTGAAATTTCCCTCCAAAATTTGTGTTTTTCCTGAGCCTCTTATTTTTATGTTCAGTTATTTTACTTTAAAGGCAATGAAAATAACATATTTTTGCACTAAGAGTAAAGTTACTGAAACTACACACAACAGCCTGAGAAAAATGCTCATTTTAGATAAAAATGTCAGATTGCACTCAGGTTTTTGCATCTAAACATCTTTTTCTGTGTGTTCCACAGACGAAAGTCTTGAATTGAAAATTATAATCATATGAATTTGAAGAAACAATTAGATTATTTCCTACCGGTTACTATAAGGCGCGTTCCAGATCCGAATCTTTTGATAAGGTTGCCCACTCAGATTAAGTCTGTTGCAAATACTTCTGAATAAAGCAAAACTTACAATGGATTTAGATCACATTTTCTTATGACTTAAATTTAAAGCTGCAGTTTATCCAAAAAAAAAAAAAAAAAAAAAAAAAATATATATATATATATATATATATATTAATTTGATCTAAGCCTGGGTGGCTATATTTTTGTAAAAACAATTTTAAAAATATATTATTCATCTGTTTTTGTCTTTCAATGTGCACTGAAAGAAATTGTTCATTGCAAATGGCTGCAAGCAATTTCTAAGCTGAATTTAAACAAATTAAGTTGAACATTACTATATTTAATTTGTCTGTTTAAATTCAGCCCATGTAAATTGTTTGCAACCACTTACCTTAAAAATATTTAGCAAATCTGAATCATGTTTTTCAGCGTGGAAGTCACTATGAATCCAAACAGTACTAAACATCTTTAAATTACACTACATGAAAATTTTTATCTGTATCTTTATATGTATCTAGCAATATATCTTCTTTCATTCTGCTCATATTAATTCACAAAAACAGAAATTTTCTAAATTATGAAAAACCTTGCTTGTCACATAACATGGCACCTGAGGGTCAATGCAAAAAAGGGCTTTCTATTTTTCTGAGGATCACAAAGAACATTTTGAAACTGCTCAAACTTACACTGAATCCTTCTGAATTTCATTATATATGGACATAGCATCATAAAAATATCTGATGTTAAATTCCACATTTGAAACTGTATATAATAATATCCAAGTGAGTAAATCATGATAGACCTTTTACATGTATGTAAACTACAACTTATTTTATACTTTATTATATTATCAAGTGCATTAATTTAGCAGGATGGAATTGCTTAGATCTTTAAGGATAGCTTACTTAAAAAAAACTGTTGCCAGATAAATTCCACAAGTAACTTGGTTTAAAATTGAATGTACAATTTGTGAAAAACAACATTGGACCCCCAGTAATTTTAAAAATATGCAAAACTATTTTTCTTTATCTAGCAAACCATTTTTAATTTTGCTTTGACCAAAATGTTATTGCATCGTAAATTATGATTTTAAAGACATTATTATATTATTTCCTACCGGTTACTATCAGGCGTGTTCCAGATCCAAATCTTTTGATCCAGTCGCCCACTCAGATTGAATATATTACAAATACCTCTGAATAATTAAAAATCTATTAGTCTGATAATTAATTCAGACCAATCCTTCTGATGGTCTGCATTACTTCAAAGATGTAGTTCACCCAAAATTCACTCTCCAAACTTGTATAACAAACATAGAAGATATTTGTACAAATATTTCAACAGTTCTTCTTTTCGAATATCAAAATCTAACAAACTGTCTTCTTTTGCGTCCCACAAAATAGAGAAGTCATCACTTGGAAATTACACCATTATGAATTTTGGGAATTTCATATAATATTTCTTACCAGTTACTATCAGCCGTGTTCCAGATCCAAATCTTTTGATCCAGCCCACTCAGATAAAGTCTATTACAAATACTTCTGAATAATGTAAAATCGATTTGTACAATAGATAATTGAGGATTAACACAATTTTAAAAGGACAATTCACTTAATACACTCACATTTGTTCAAACCTGTGCCATTTTTCTGTCTTTCTGAGGAACAGAACAGATTTTTTTTTTCAGTTGAAATGTCACTGGGATCCAAAACAACACTGAAACCTTTTTTAATTTCATTATTTTCATGCATCTTTCTTTGTGTTCCACTCATAAGTAATAAAATTATATTATTTCCTACCGGTTACTATCAGACGTGTTCCAGATCCAAATCGTTTGATGTAGTAGCTGCCCACTCAGATTAGGTCTATTACAAATAATTCTTAACAATGTAGATTCCACATGCATGATAAATAATTGATGTTGTTTCTTTTATTACTACACTGTGGTATGAAGGTTGACATAGACAGCCTCTGCCAAACACTAAAACAAATAGACTTGATTACGGTCCTAATTCATTCCCACCAAAGAGTGCTTATTGATCCTCTTTATAAAAGAGAAAATCTAGAATTAAACACCAAACTTTTAGTAAAAAGTTGAATGTATAGGCTTTTTCAAGCAATCAGTAAGATGAATGGGCAGAAAAATTTCTGTTCTATTGATATAGGATATAGTAGATATTATTTTTGCAATAAAAGTACTTAGATGGTTCCTAAGTTCCAATGCTTTTTTTAAAGGTTCAGTTCACACATAATTAATATTAATATTGTATTAATATTATTATATTATTATCATTTAAAACATGATTTACAAGCAATATTTTGAAGATTGTTCTGTTCAAGGGAAACAAGAAGAAATAAACAGAAAACAGGGCAGATACGTGAAATGTATCACTCCAAATGAGTTCTTTTTTTATTTAATATTTATTTATTTAATATATTTCAACATTTTATCATTTCCCAGATCGCAAAATATTTAACATCACTACTTCAGTCTTATGTATATCATGACCTATATTCTCAAATTCTTTGTATATTTTTGTAATCTGAGATTTTTTTTAGCAAGTGAGATCCAAATCAGTTTACATTTTATTGTATAGACAGAATATCACTTTCAAAATATCTTATTTTGTGTTCCACATAATAAGATGAGCTTTTTCATGTGAATTAAGACTTAATTTATCATGTTTTACAATAACAAGTGGACTAATTAAGCAAGATGCAGTTGTTTGGATCTTTTTAGGACAGCTTTAAGATGAGCCCTTTTTGCCAGACGAATTACATAATACATTTTAATAAATGAAAGTTATAACTTGTAAAATCGGCAAAGCACATTATTCATGTGAATTTTTCTTCTTACCTGTCACAATAAGTCTTGTACCCGAACCAAAGATTTTCCTGTCTCCACAGTCATATGTTCCTGAACAAAAAGATGTGGCTTGTGTAAAAGAGAGTCTGTACCTGCTTCTTGTATATCATTTTATAATTTTCATGCATAATTTTTTAACATAGTATATAAGGAAGTAAAAAGTGCTATGAATTTTGATTTTCACCACTGAAGTGCTAAAACACTATTAATTTACCTGTGTTGTGAAGAGATTCAGCAATAGTTCTCTGCACGGTGTCATATCACACTCCTGCCAGTAGGGGCTGCAAAAGTGGATAAAGGGATAGTTCACCCAAAAATGAAAATGTACTCACTATTTACTCGCCCTCAATTCTTAATTCCTAGTTTCTTTATTCTGTTGAACACTAAAGAAACAACTGTAACCATTGACCGTCATAGTATTTGTTTATCCTATTTTGGATGTCAATGCTTACAGCCAGGTTTCCAGATTTCTTCAAAATATAAATGTTTAACAGTGTTCAACAAAGCAAAAAAGGCAAACATATATGGAACAAGTGAGGGATGAGTCAATTATAATAGTTTTACTGATAGAATTATGCCTTGATTGCCATCTTCCTGGATCACTAAAATGTTGTGGCCCATAGTCGAACCATATACAGTAAAATTTGCCATTTTCCAGTTACAATCAGGCCAGATATACATAACTAAAGTCATCCCAATTCTAGCAAATAGAAACTTCGCCAGCGCTTGTTCACTACTGGCAAGCTGATGTCTGTACAAGAGTCAGCCGCAACTGACCCGATTCCACTGGCTACCTGTGGTCAGACTAAAAAACTTATATGGTGCGTGAACTCAAAATGCACTATGGGTATTTTTAGCCGTTGAGTGAACATTGGCTTTACACTCAGAATTTGTATTTTAGAGTGTGCCAAAATGCCAAAAATGTGTGTGTGTGTGTGTGTGTGTGTGTGTGTGTGTGTATATATATATTATTAACCCTAAATATGATTGAGCTGACAACCCGCCCATTCAACTTTTTACTAAAAGTTTGGTGTTTAATTCTAGATTTTCTCTTTTATAAAGAGGATCTATAAGCACTCTTTGGTGGGAATGAATTACGACTGAATTCTTTATTCTATTTGTTTTGGTGTTTGGCAGAGGCTGTCTATGTCAGCCTTTATGCCACAGTGTAGTAATAAAAAAATCTTGTGGTTTCTGAGGAGGAAAGGAGCCCTGTCAAGTTTTTGTTCAGTGTTTCTGTATTTTTAACTGCTGTGACAGCTGATCTATCCCAACAAGCACAGTAATAGACTGCTGAATGCTCTGTTTTCAGTTCAGGTATTTTCAGAGCAATATTTGACTGTTTACGGTCTATTTTAAACAATTCAAAACCAGCATCTCTGGCTGGTTCTCCTCCTGAAATTTGTGCATATAATATTCTCTTTAAGGTTTGTCCTTTTAGTTGGTACCAGTGGATGTACCTATAACAGTCTGAAGGGTAATCACAGTCTATGACAACAGTCTTGTCCTG